TGCTTAGCTTCAGTGGGCTGCCAGTGGTGAGGTGCATGGTGATCTAGCTGCTGGAAGCTGCTATATCTGCTATAGATAGGGTGATATACAGTAGCTGCTATAGAGCCAGAGAAGTTGCTGTCCCTCTGTTTAAACCCATAGGAGTTTGGACACAGGACATACAGTAATACTCCCATAGGAGTCATAGGTCATTTGACATCCTTTTGCCACAGTTCCATTGAGGACAAGTTCATATGGAAAGAAATCTTTTCTGCTGGGCAGTGTGGTCTGAATGAGGTGCCCAGCTGGAACATGCAGTTAGACAAACTGGCTTACACTGGCCACATTCATCTCACGCACGGCCCACGGCTCATTCATTTCCAGTGAGTTTTTCCCCTTTTCTCAGTTTTAAAGCCCTGAGGTAGGAATGGGAAGTGGGCAGCACCTATAGTTAACAGCACTATGATCTGCGACCACCGCCCAAAGCTTTGAAGCTGGACGCTGCTTCTTCATATGAACACAACCTAAAACATTTCTTAAAGAACTGCTTTTGGGTAAAGAGTATTGCAAGAATTGCAAAAAAAGGAACTGGAAGGTTAACTTATCTTTATGTATAATGCCAACTGGTGGTGGTGGTGGGGGTTATCATTCTCCTTTGTTACTTTGTGTGCTGATTCAATATTTGACCTTTCATCGCTGATAGGATATTTAGAGTAACAATGCTTCTCTGGGTACAATAATCAAGGTAACCCAATATAAAACAAAAAGACAAGCGTCTTCCGTTTTGAAAGCAAAGATTCAAGAACTGTTTTCATGTTTTTACTGGACTGTCAGGCTCCAAACAGCACACATACTTTTTAACATGTAACACACTGAATTTATTTTGTGCACACTGAGACTATCTCATTTAGTTCTGACTGTATTAAGAATACAGGAGGAAGAAAATGATAACAAAACCAACACAAAGTTATATTACACGTGGGCACTCCATTTACAGTTTACAGTAATCCACAATCTTCAATGTTTTACAGAAAAATAGAATATGATACACTACAGAAGAGGACTGAATCAAGAACAAATTGTTCGCCTCTTAAGATACTGTGCCGCACAGAGGTAATGACATCTTGTCCTCCACATACTGACTGTACGTGCTGCAAACGAGGCGCTCAGTCTGGTGATGTAGGCAGCCAGACTTCACTTAATGGCGAGTCACAATAATTTTAAGACATGAGGTAATTCAGACACACACACGCTGCTTTTGACTAGTGTCCTCTAGCTCAACCAGTGACAACTACACTTCAACCAAAGCTCAAAATAAAAAAAATTAAAAGCTACTGCTCTACATTTCATTCAGAACAGACTCGAGGTCAATATAGAGAAGATATTTTTCAGAACAATTCAAAAATTGTTAGATTGTTAGATAATTCCCAAATGTTTCAGTATTAGATGGATGGCCTTGATTTTCTTTTCTTTCATTTTCTTTTTGTATTAGACTAGCATTGATAAGCTGTCAAGCGGCACTAACAAAGACAAATTAATATTGTACACAACTTAATTAAAATCCTGTCCCATGTTTCAACCCTTTCACTGTTATTCACATTTAACCCATGATTCATATTAAACGTTAATTGAAAAAGTACAGTAATGCTTTAGCTTAGCATTCTCAACACTGCTCCAATAGAAAACTGGGCAACTTTTATGATTGTATAAAATAATGAGAGCACTATGCATTTCAAATATCTGTTATGGAGTACTTAACACAGAGTTCATAAAGCAAACAGATTTCAGCTAAGTATTTGTAAAGATAAGGTTTGTAAGCCTGTGAAGCAATCAACTCCTCTAATTTAACACTAATAATGTACATGTAGCAATGAGCAATCAAGAACATACCAAATTATTGATTCAGGATACCATTACAGAAATGTCCATATTCCTTTCTCTTTATCAATCAATTCAATTAGTCAAATTGACTAAAATGCAATTGCAATTTCCCTTACAGGATTAATAAGTATCTATCTATAATACAGTATCTGAAACTAAAGCAATACAACCCTATTTGGTTACAGCTCAAGCAATAGTAATTTGCAAGATTGGTTAAATTCAGCTATGCCAAATACAGCTTTCACTTTAATTGTATTCTGTTACATCCTTGTGACATTCAACTTATAGTGTTGGACCTTAAACTCTGCATGCCAAACTGCTGGCAGTCACAGCGTAATGAGACTGAGCTGCATGACACAACAATTCAATTATTTTTGATTCAATTTACAAAGAAGAGTTTATTTTTCTTTGGTGTATTCATTAAATGAGGAACATTAACGCATATGTATTCCCTGATATTAGCTGTCAAGTTATTCAGATTATACAAACTGGTAAAAAATACTCCTTTGATTATGTGCACTTATGCATATGATTAGAACTGATAAATGAAACAAATAATTGTGGTTATGTGATACATTCCTTTCCTCTGTCCTCACTCAGATTGGTTCATGTCTGCTGGCAGTGTTTAGGCCTCATCAATACAAACTCTATCTAAGGTGATAGTGTTTTCAATCCATGTCTTTCTAAACACATCCTAACAGCATACCATCTGAAAAATGAAACAATTATTCTGCATAGCTCTACAGTGAGGATGTGAACTTTTCCATCACAGAATTCTATTTCATCATGCAGCACTTTCACTGTTTATACTCACATTATGTTTCTACAACTCCCATATAAAATAAAGCAAAGTAGATTTTGTAAAATAAAGCCAGATACGCCTAGATTCTACCCATGCTCAACTGGTGCAAAACTCAATCCATATTCAAGCATATATCACAAGGTCTGCACAAACAGCATTTATAATGTACACTTCATCCCATAGTCTCATGACTAAAACACGTTGAAAAGAATTCTACCTCTATAGTGGAAAAGTTCAGTCTTGCTTTCCCTAAGCAAGGTACTATGAAGTGTACAAGAATCAAACCGTAGGTTTCAATGACAACAGAGCCCCCGGATAAGAGGACACACTTAACAGAAGCCTAGAGCTTGGGACTGATTTTTTTCTGTTCCTACTAGTATGGGAAAAATGATTTTTTAAACTCTTCTTTGATTAGATACAGGCCATGCTTGCATCTAGTGTTAAACAGGCAGAATACTGGAAATATCATCCCTGCTCTGAAGTCCAATAACAATGATCTTGTTGTCTTGCATCACACAAATTGTGGTATTTAGCCCAAATATATGCACTGAGCTTCTCTGAGGTTTATTTGTATATTAATTTTGTTTTTATGCAAACAGAAGGTGGACAACATAATGGAGTGAAATACAGAGTCACAGGAAGAGCCGTGTTGACCTTTTCAGCACATGAACACAAAAAGCAATTGTTATGCATTCAGTTATACTCTGGCTGTGTTTTGTACACACACTCCCTGTTAACTGCTGCAATTCCTCTGCTTGAGGTCACCTTCCCACACCTGCTGCTCTATTTCATTACCTCAGACAATTCATTTTGAGGAACAGGTACAGGTTTATTACTACTACTTGAACCCATTTATTTTGAGTCCAATTGCCCGGTTTGGCCTATTGTTATTCCTCGAAAATAAACAAACAGTACAATTATTATTGGAATTGTTGCAATTGTTGTTAAAAAGTTTGAAACGTCTAAGACCTTCAGGCTCAACACGTGGACGGTTTTATTCAGCTCCTGGTCTCCAAACACAAAGAGCACATACAGTCCGTGACACTCATTACTTATTCAAATCCACTTGTCCCTGCACGTACTATACAGTACACATACAAAAAATGGACAGTTCAACCTCTAAACACCAGTAAATTGCTTTTCCCATGTAATCGTTTTACAAAAATGCGATCCTTCGAGTAAGCTTCTTTAATATAAAGATAATATTCGGCAAAATAAGACGAAACAAAGTTATGACAGAGTCATCGAGCAGTTCTGCTTATGTGAATTTGAGACCGGTAAGGAGTAACTTACTCATAATTTCTCACAAATCCTATACCTAAACAAAAGCACACCTATAGTAAGCATGTGTCTTTATACTGTAAATGTTTTCAATAGTGCCCGGAAGAACTATGATAAATGAAACACAATAACATATCACAGTAACATAACATAATAGCTGCAGAACCGTGTTACGCACATTAGTCACACCTGAAAATAAAATACATGCTCATGATACGACATAACTCCCGCACTTCGCTGTGCATCCGATCTGGCGGAATCGGAACTCAAATGGTTTTTGTGTCTCAAATTCACTGTGTACTGTATACAGTGCCGCATGCATTTTATATCCAATCTGACTTCGAGATAACAAAAAAGCAAAAGAAGATCCAGTTAGATCCAGTTGCTAACGAACCGATAAATGGAAATAGCCTTAAACTGGGAGGGATAGGGGTGATCAGGCTACACGCAACTGCTTCAATCCGTCCACCCTTGTGCGGTAGAAATCTGTTGAATCGGGGAATCGTTACTTCCTAAAAAAGTAAGTGTCAAAATGAAGACACACAGGAAAAAGAAGTAACAGGACGACCACAAACGACTACGAGTAAGCCTGAAGAGAACAATATTTAAAGACCACGCAGTGTGGCGATCAACTTGAAAATGAACAACAACTGCGTACAAGAACAATGCTAATGCTAAACTCACGTTTTTCTTTACGTAGCGGGCGCAAATTATTTAGACTGACGGTAGAAACATCACCTCACGGTACAGCATTTTCAAAGCGTGCTTTAAAACATCTGATTTTATGATTTAAACAACACGCATCTTCGCTCGCTTGTTCTCTGTCGACGCTCCCATTTCCTGAAGCACTGCGTGCACGATCATAACTGATTTAACAACATTAAAACGGCATGCAAGAGATTTTCATAAACAGTGTTGAGAAGGGGGGAACAATTCTGTTGTATTGCTGTCCTGTACCGTAAAGAGTGCGAACAGCATACTGCAATTTGAATAAACTTGCTTTTAACCCGGCAACATATCTGCATCTACCACCTGATCAGATACAACAGCAAGACACCTTGCGCTACTCACCGCTTGCTTAGACTAAAAACAAAAGGCTTTAGCTTCTCCGAAAATGTGCGTGCAATTTGTAAAGATTCCGGATCCACCGTCTTCTTCCACTACACGTTTCTCCCGAGCTGTCTCAATTCCTGCCCGAATGACGCCAGTCTCACACTTGAAGGGCGGTACTACATGATGCGCCGAAGACAGCAATAGGACAACCCCTACGAGCCAAAAGGAGAATATTTTACGCCCCCAGGAGGTTGGGCATAAAAAAAAGAAAACGAGATATGCTCCTTTGCAGCTCAGCTATGTTTTGTAAAACTATAAAGCTATGATGTTCTATTTTAAAAGTGTGAAATAAAAACCACAGCATGGCGTATTAGATCGTGACACCATGAGGAAAGTGCAAGGTACAACAGCTATTTGAAGACAGCAGGCAGCAGCAACGCGTGTTCTGCGAACCGGTTTGGAGCATATGTACTGTTTTGTGCTATATAGAGATTAATACGGACACGTCCACAAACAGCTGAAACGTTTCGCTAGTTATAAAAACAAAATATATCTAACAACATCATAAAAGCAATATATATATATATCTAGACTGTTCAATTAACAGTACAGTGTGTGTGTTCATATATGTGGACATTGGGGTTAAATTGAAAGTCGAGTGGTTCATTAGCCCGTAACCTTGAATGAGAAGTGTCAGCTGATGTCATGGTCCTGTATTGTATTAGACTGCATTCTGTTGGACTACCTTGTAAGATAGAAAAGCTGGAGAACGCGATTAAAACCACTTACCCTTCTTCCCTCAGCTACAGCTTTTCAATCATTGTAGGATTCCCAGTAACAAACTATGTTATACATACCCCTTGTTTTGATAATGTGGTGGAAATATTTTGTGGGCCATTTTCTAGCGTCTGAATATAATGCCTGTAGTCTATAGGCATGTGTGCTTGTATACTATTACACACGCTGACCTTCAAACGTATCGGGACAGCAAGGTCAAAATAATGATTTTTACTACTTACGAATGCTGACACAGCTACCTACTTGTATATATAAGTTGTACTTGTACTTGTAATAATGTTTACTGTACAGTCAAGCACTTTGTATTTGTGATCCTGAGATTAATGTGAATTTTAAGTACAGTATGATATTTTATTCGATACGCAAAATGACAATGCTTTCAACTTTTTATCTTCATTAAATTCTTAGGACAGAAGCCAAATAAAAGGTAGTTTTGGACTCGGCCAGGTGCACTCCCTGCAATCTCTGTTCTGACCGACAGGGGTCTCCGCTAGTTTTCCTCCTTGACGAATATTTGTATAAAAAACAACACACATTAATGTCTTATGGCAACAAAAAAAAATCGGAGAACTGACGGAACAAAACGTGTGTGAGAAACTTATGAGAATAAATAGTATTTTATTGAGAATGATAACGTAAGTCGCAAATCAGAAGATATCTGGCATTTTGGAATATAATGAATTAAGGGCTGCCCCTTTAAAAAAAGAGGCAGCCGTCGCTCAACAATGACGTCAGCGCTGGATTCAAGGCTCATCTGGTAGTTGAATCGCTTCCTCATACGTTTTCTAAACAGCTTTGCGAGAAGAAGTGGGGATTTTCTTAAGATACCTTTTTTTCCTTAATGTCATTTTTCTTAAGAAATTAATGTTGCATCTAGACAGCGACTTGAGTCGTCCTTTCTCCATTTCCCGGTTCTCCATGCTGAAGTACCTCTGCACAGTAATTTTTTGTGTCGTTAATGTTTTGCCAATAATAAACCATGCCAGAGGAAAAGACATTACAGAACAAGACATGGCACATTACAGGTTCGTTTGGAACAGACTGTTTCTTCAGGGGGAACCTCGCTACAGCCGGAGTCTGGCTAAATACGTAGCAGTACGTAGCTTAAATAAATTCGCAATTAGTATTATGATCACATAAACAGGAAGTAATCATTCAGAAAGCAATGCCTGTTGTATCAAGTATTGTATATCGCTCAGACGCCCTCACTTCGAAAAAAAACTTTTCTCAGAACTTTAGAAATTAAAGGTATTCTAATATTGTAAATCTTGAAAGTCACGAAAAAGCGTTGTACCAGACTTTAAATGGCCAAAGGTCCATTTGTTCCCTGCTATTTGTTAAAATGTTTTATCATCCTTATTTCATAAATGCGAGGAATTATTTTTATTATTATAGTAATGTGAGAGCAGCCGGGATAAACATCATTACCCCCCACAAAAGCTCTTAAACTAAGGCCATTTGTTTCAACTGAAGTTTGTAAATTCTCTACAATAAGCACAGAGATAAAAGTGGTTTCAAGTCCTATGGAGTATATGGCCAGAATGCGAATGAACTAAATAGTCTTTATATTTTTAGGATTGTATGGCAACTGACTCATCAGTCAGAGTTTTCCTTAGCTGACTAACCAATATTATTCCTTAAGGTTAGGATTTATTGTGGTCCCCCATGGCCAAATATCAGTGTTTTAACTTTGGAGAAAATCAATGTAGGCCTGTTATGAAAGTGAAATGATAGTTTGTAATATATTGAATTTATGCAAAAGCAGCCTTTTGGTGCTGTGTAGCAGTACACTATTTTTGTTAAATGTTAAAAGACCTTTGAGATTTTCATCTTTTGTTGACTATTCTTATCCTTTTACCTGGGAGTCTTGTTCACGTTTGTATTTCAAAATTATGCCCTCTCTATTTTTACAGGGAAAGAATAAAGTCCATGTTTTATCATGCCTACAACAGCTACCTTGACAACGCCTTTCCTTACGATGAGCTGCGACCTCTGACCTGTGATGGGCAGGACACGTGGGGCAGGTACCCTATGTCCCCCCCTCTTCCCCATTCAGATTTATAGCTGCTGTGTAGAATTGAACTAAGTGACACGTTTTTCCATTTCCTGTAGTTTTTCTCTGACGTTGATTGATGCACTTGACACTCTTTTGGTGAGTTAACTTCCTCCTCTTGGCAGCAATTTTTATTGGCAGTTTAAAAGATTGTTACATAAAAAGAGTGTTTATAATGCCCCCGCCTCCTCCTCTAAAGGAGGAATGCCACATCCAAAGTCAGAGCACAGGAACACGGCAGGTGTTTATTACCAGCAAATTATACAATTACACAAAGGTAGGTCCTGATGTTTCCACTGTCCATGAGGCCTAAGCCTAGTATGCTGCATTCAAATGTTCTGTCTTTTTCTTTAGATCCTTGGAAACAATACAGAGTTTCAGCGGGTGGCTGCTCTGCTTCAGGATACAGTGGACTTTGACATTGATGTGAATGCATCTGTGTTTGAAACCAATATCAGGGGTGAGTTGTTGAGAACACATGGAAGGTAATACAAAATGTTCCACCTACAGGCAGTGTTTTCATAGCAAGATCCCTGAAACACAAGTATCTGTGTGAAATATACAGGATCTGTCGCATGTTTATCGGTTATGTTGCAGAGTGCTTGATACACTGAGAAGAAAATGGATGATTGTGTTAATTGAGATTTAGTGTTTTAATGCTCAGGGTAGACAGATCCAATGGGGAATTGAACCCCAATCACTGGTGCCCTCACCACCAAAAGGAGTGAACTTCCTGACAAAACCAATTTTTAGTTTCTTAGCCCCTCCCTCGTCACCCTTAGGGAAAGAGCTAAAGACGGAGTGTGGCTCGAGCAATACACAGTTTCAATATTCACTTCATAATCAATATCACATAAACCAGAAATGAATCATTGAATCAGCAACCGTCAGCTTATTCTTGTAGCAAACTATGTATATCAAATAACCCCTTTTCACTTAGAAAAAAACATTTTTCTCAGGTTCATTTTGTAAAGTATTTTAATTAAATCAGGACGAACATTGATAATTACACGTTATGGCAAATGTTTTTTATTCCTTAATTTTAACACAGCCCATAACTTTGACAAAAATCCATAAGAAAATTACTCAGGCACTTTTGATATACCCACTGATGCATGCAAAAACACAATGTACAAAGGCTTCACTGCGTTGATGGGGTACTGTTCAGTAAGTTAAAATATAATTTATGTGAAAACAGTGTGGATTCAATTTCATGAAAATATAAATTAGAAAAAACAGACGCAGCCTATGGGTGATTCAATACAAATGCTTTTTGTATAACTACTTTTCTGTTGCTTCCTCCACTGCCCTAATTAAGGCAAGTTTCTGGTATGTATAATCTCCACCCACATTTATGGTCTTGGGATTCTCCATGAAAGACCTACAGTAACAAGCACACTGTGGGTCATTGCTATTGCCTGACAGATGTTGTCTTGACAGATGTTGACAGACCAATTCCCTCTTTTTTATGAGATATACTGTATGGGATGTTTGCATTGTGCATTACATCAGAAAGCAGAATCAGCTGGCCTTATTGTTTTTTTTCCCCTCAGTGGTGGGAGGCCTCCTTTCAGCCCACTTGCTGTCAAAGAGGGCAGGGGTGGAGGTGGAGCCAGGCTGGCCTTGCTCGGGACCTCTTCTCAGGATGGCCGAAGAGGCTGCTCGCAAGCTCCTGCCAGGTGAGCAGGGCTTCCTCTACTGATGTTGAATCAACACGTTCATTAGATTTTACCTTCATGCAAAAGTAGCGGCCTTCTTTTTCCTAAATCAAGAATGTAAGAACAGAGCTGTCCCATTTCATAATGAACCCTTCAGTGACTTAATAATAATAAGATTAATGAGGTGTATGAGACTTGGGCAAGAGGGAGAATGAAATCTGAAAGGGAGAATGAATGAAAATTCAAAATTCTGATTGTGCAAATGTTTCTTATGTAAGCCATTGCACACATCATTGCATGCAGTAGCAATAAAACCATCAAATATCTTTTGGCTCTATAAATGCTTAGCAGACAGTAATAATACAGGAGATAATTATTCACAATAATAGTGTGCTATAGTAATGTACACTATACACAGTCAGATTGGTGGCTTCTTTCCATGCTGTCAACAAACACTTCTTTCTGTGCAGTTGGCCATAAACACTGATTTCATACAGTGTAATGATATGCCGCAGAGATTTCTTTTTTGATATTCCGTCTCCACTAAGCCTTCCAGACACCGACTGGCCTGCCCTATGGCACAGTGAACCTGCTCCTGGGCGTCAACCCCACCGAGACCCCTGTGACTTGCACTGCTGGCGCCGGCACCTTCATCTTGGAGTTCGCTGCCCTCAGCCGGCTCACTGGCGACCCTGTTTTTGAGGAAGTGGCTCGCAAGGCCTTGAGAGCACTCTGGAAAACACGCTCTGACATTGGACTGGTGAGGAGAGACCTGAAGCCTGGTAGCGTTATACCTGCTGACAGAACTTAAAAGAAGCGGCCTGGAGTAATGTCTCCACGAGCAGGGCTATAGTCAGAAGTTATTTTTTCTAATCGCATCCTCCAGGTATTGCATATAACCCTAGCCACTAGCAAGATGGCCATCCAGAGCTCCATCTTGTTAGGGACTGGGCTTATGTCCAGTACCAGTAGTACATGATTACAAAAATATCTTCCTTTTATAAACCTATCTCCGGAGACCTTACACGGCTGATAATCTTTGTTTTCAGATTTAAAAATATTTGCATGACATGCCGTTATCATTTAGTCAGTAGACGGTAGAAGTCAGCCATTTCATCACATAGAATTCCAGTGGGAACTGTGATCTCTTTTATTTTTCTCTTGTTGCACCCAAGTAAACAACGTTTATAGGCAATTATGCTATTTTTAATGTTTTGTGAAAGTTTCAGAACCAGTGAGAACAAAGGCCCTTTGGATACTCCTTTCTGGACATTTCGCAAGAGGTGCAGTGATGTGTGTGTTGCGTGTCTGTGCTTCTCAGGTGGGGAACCACATTAATGTGGTCACCTCGAAGTGGGTGGCGCAAGACGCTGGAATAGGAGCTGGCGTGGATTCATACTTTGAGTACTTGGTGAAGGGAGCTATCATGCTGCAAGATGAGGAGCTGATGTCTATGTTCTCAGGTGAGAAGTCACACCCTGTTTCCAGATTGCTTGACATCTGTGAAGTTAACAAGTGAGATGCTTTCAAGCCCTCTCCCTTTAGCTGCTACATTTACATACACCATCTTTAGGTATGACTGCTTCATTTTTTATTTCAAGAGATATTCAGTGTACCAATTTAATTGTGACAGCTATTTTGCAAATTGTAAGGGATATAATAGCTCCATCTGCTGTCCACACACAAATTTATTGAACATGATGAGATTAATGTGATTATATGGAAGCATTTCATTTCTCATTCTTCATTGTCCTTATAATGTTAGCTACAGAGTTATTATTTTCTTATTGTGTCTTTACAGAGTATGACAAGGCGATCAGAAACTACACCAAGTTTGACGACTGGTACTTATGGGTTCAGATGCACAGAGGCACTGTGTCCATGCCAATCTTTCAGTCACTGGAAGCATTCTGGCCAGGGCTGCAGGTGAAATACTTGGGCAACTTTTTAAATACTTCAGCATTCTTCTTGCCTTCTGTCAAGATAGGACCTTAGTCTTACACTCAAGGCAAGGTGTTGGCAGAATTTGCATTGCGCTGCACTGTACAAGTATTAACAGTTTATGTATGTACATACAATTTCAAAAGTTAGAGGTTGGCGCCATCCTCTGTCATGAAGTGCAAATACACAAACCCTGCATTACAATCCGTCTTAAATAACATGCTCTGCGTCTAACAGATTGAACCTGTGATGGATATACTGTAGTTCTGCTGGTAAGGTTAGACTATCTGTGTATTTACTGATTGGCCTGTGTTTCTGTTTCAGAGTCTGATCGGCGATATAGATAATGCCATGAAAACGTTTCACAATTATTACACAGTGTGGAGACAGTTCGGAGGGCTGCCTGAATTCTACAGCATCCCACAGGGGTACACTGTGGATAAGAGAGAGGGATACCCCCTCCGACCAGGTAGACAACTGTGCTTGTACATTTCCTATAGAACCTATCCAGGTTTAATGTGCACTTTATAGAATTTTGAAGGTGTGTGGGTTCCACCCTACACTTACAGTATATGAGTAGCACTTATATATATGCCAGCAGCTACCCAGGTGTGAGCCTGTCCAGTACCTGGATGGGAGACCTCCTGGGAAAGCTTAGTTGCTAAGAGGTGTTAGTGAGACCAATAGGAAGTGCTCACCCTGTGGTTTGTTCTGGGTCCTAATGTTCCAGTATAGTGATTAGGACACTGTGGTGCTGTCCCTCAGAAGAGATATAAAACCGAGCACCTAACTTCCCATGGTCATTAAAAATTCAAGGGTGTTTCTCGAAAAGAGTAGTGGTGTAACCCCAGCGTCCTGGCAAAATTTCCGCCTTGGCCTTTACCAGTCATGGCCTCCTAATGGCCTAGATGGCCTCTGCTCTCCTCCCCACTGATAGCTGGTGTGTGGGGAGCGTACTGGCGCACTTTGGCTGCCTTTGCATTATCAGGTGGGTGTTACACAATGGTGGTGGTGGAGGGGAGTCCCCATTACCTGTAAAATGCTTTGAGTAGAGTGTTCAGAAAAGCACTATATAAGGAGTAAGGATATTATTAAGGATAGTAGTAGTAGACCCTTCTTTGTGCACTTGTAGAAGCGCTGTGCTGAAATTTTAAAGGCAAGTACTCCTTAAAAGAGGACAAAAGCAGAAGGTTGAAAGGCAGCCGGCAAGCATTTTCTAAGGTTTTCAGTATGCCATTTGACTTCTGATAAAAACCGGTGTGCGTGTTTTCGGGTTCGGCTCGGTTTCGGTTCCTAACATGTGCCCCACGTGTCCCAGAACTGATAGAGAGTGCCATGTACCTGTACCGGGCCACAGGGGACCCCACCCTGCTCGAGCTGGGCCGGGACGCGGTGGAGTCCATTGAGAAGATCAGCCGGGTCAGCTGTGGCTTTGCCACTGTAAGTGCAGATTGTAAAGATTACTGCCTTGATTTAGAAACCTCTGTGTGAAATATTTCTGAACTACTGCTTCTTTTAAAAATGAGGAAAGCGCAATAAATACAGGGTGCATTTGCAACCAAGCTCCTTATCAAAAACACTGTTTTTCTTCAGTTTGTTTTCTATGTTAGAAGTAAATTGTGCATATTGTGATGCTTGAAATGTGAATATGAATACTTTTCACAAGCAGTAGAAATGGATCTTTAAAACGGAATTGCTGTGCCATTGTAGGAGTAGTATTTATTATTTATTTATGAGATCACAGCTCTGTCGGGACAACATTCCCCAGAAACCTCTGTGGAAGTGAGCTGCTGCTCTCAGTCTCCTGACCTGATGCTTGAAGACGGTTGGTCAGTTGACTTTAAGAAGCAGGAAGCAGAAGCTTTTTGAGTCACTCCTTCTCCCTCCTGTGAATGGTGCACAGAGAGGTCCTGCCTTCTGCTTTTCAGACGACAGACATCTCAGTGACTGACTCAGGGAGTGTCTGCTTCCTGCTTTTTTGAGCATCTGATAAGGCAACTGAGAGCAGTGGTTCATTTTCCCAGAGGGTTCTGGGGAATGTAGTCCCAACAGGGCTGTGCCCTCACTTAGGTCATTGGAATATGGATTGTATCTTGAGTTAATTGTCTATCTTACTCGGGTAGTTAATATTTTTAATTTTCATTTTGATATTTTTTAATTAATTAACGGTGCATCTGAATCTTTGATTCTGGACAAATCTGTTTTAACCTTGGTACTTCTGGATAGACTAAGATGTTTCAATTTAAGACAGATCATGTTTGGGTCTTTTATCATTTAGTTTTAAAGCTGCCAAATAGTAATTCCGTACATCTTAGGTGATACCAGTTATGTATACATTATATATTGTTCCTAGGTAAAAGATGTCAGAGATCACAAGCTGGATAATCGGATGGAGTCCTTCTTCCTGGCTGAGACAGTCAAGTACCTCTATCTGCTCTTCGATCCCGACAACTTCCTGCACAACACCGGCTCCGAGTTTGACATCGTGAGTGGGCCCTGGGGAGAGTGCGTCCTGGGGGCCGGCGGGTATGTCTTCAATACCGAGGCTCACCCGCTGGACCCTGCGGCCCTGCACTGCTGCAGCCGGGCTCTGGCGGAGCAGCAGGAGCTGCAGGAGCTCCTCCTGGGCCTGACCCAGCCGCCCGGCCCGGCCGGCGCCGCCCGCGGAGAGCCGGAGGGCGGCGAGCCGAAGGGACAGGCCTTTTCCGAGAGCATCGCGCTCAAGCACGGGGAGAGGAGGAAAGCCCCGATCCTCACCTGCCCCATGCAGCCCTTCACCTCCAAGCTCTCCATACTGGGCCAGGTGTTCACCGACACCACGTGACAGGGCTGTTTTCATTGCTGAGAATAAATGGTTTTATTTATTTCGAATGCCGGAGTGTCCCAGTTTTATTCTTGGTGATGTTTCACCAGTTTTCTTTAATAAATTAATAAATCTGTTAACCTGGGTTGTTTACGGGAGGGGTCCCCAGAGGAGAATGTTGTAAATGTCCATTTGTAACTCGATGCACCTAAATGAATAACTAATGTTCTCATCTATTTTAAACCTATTGGATCGCCATTGTGCATAAAGAATTTAAATACACAGGAAATACAGTATATTCTAGCCTTTTAAAATTAAACACAAATTGAATATTTTTTTTAATTTAGTTTCTATAGTACACTCAGATATATTTTTGAATTATCTGCTAATATCACTCTTGAGATATTTAATTGCCATTTATGAAATCAAAAACATAAAGGCTTCAAGAAGGACGTTTCTTAGATGTCTCGAGGTAGATAGGATTTTGGTGTGACAATTTTCAGAAATTTTAAGGTTAGTGTTAAGTAATGTCAGCTAGAATATAATTGACACTGTAATTCCTACATGTATAACCACTTGGCCACATGCACTCAATGTAGTTCTCGTAACCCTGACTCCCTCTGTCCTGAGTACTACTGCACCAATTGAATTTAAACTTAGCTGATTTCATTAACAGCCAACCAAAGTGTACTGATTTCTTCCTTACAAGATGCTGCAACAATTTTCCTGCTCACAACATGCCATCAGTGTTGGGCAAAATACAGCCACTTAAACCAACTGCTATTAGTTGCTTTTATGGTATTAGTAGATACTGTTAATATGTGATGAAATGGTGTCCTGCATAATGCATAGTTCCACAGAGGCTATCTGACTTCCATTTTATTCACCAAATTCGAACTTTCATTGTCCGGGGAACTGCTCCACTGATGGAAACTTTCATTGCACTCAAACCTGTTTCAGACTCATCATCACCATTGCCACATAATTAAAAAATATAATCTATCATTTGATAATTTCTTGTACTTGGCAAATGCCTGGCTGTTTTTTAGAATCATAAATGATCTTGTCCTCCCTCCTTTGAAATGCTTTATATCACTCTGCTTTGACAATATTAGAAACACAAGAGCCTCTGTTATAGGTGATAAAGCCACTGAAATTGGTTAATAAGCATTTTCAGTTAGAACATCTAGCATAAAACAATCATCTATAATCAATCAAACAGAAGTGAAAGCATGGCTTAAAGCAAACCAATCTTGTAATAATTAATCTCTTGATGTCTCTTTTAATGATGGACAGACATCATGTTATTGATCTTGATAAGTGATTGTCTTCTAATGTGACTTTAATCTATTTATTAATTTAGCATGCTATTATTATTGTGCACTTTGCCATTTGAGAGTTGCACATAGCCTGCTACAGAGACACTTTTTAGGCCTGCTTCAAGATCTGTTTGACCAAATAACTCCCGGCCTGGTAGGTATAATTCTCTAACAGTTGCCGTTTCAATGTGTTAAAACAGAATTCCTACATTATTTCTGATGGCTTTGGCTGTTTTCTGTCTTGGGAACAGCACTGTTTTAACTCGGACCTAATTTAGACTTGCACTTCACGAGTACAGGTTTGGCATTTGCCTGCACCAGGTCATCATGTTCTTGACAAAACGCAGCCCTTAACACTAGCCAGTAATATGGTGGGGTGGAGGAATATATGTGCTGGACTAATTCCAAATTTTGGAGGTTTGAGGGAATGCAAGGCATCTATGCAGATTTTTACCACCTACAGTTTTTGTACTACTGCCCAGGCCTTCCAGGTAGGTGGCGCTGTGCGCGCCGGGCTCGATTTATCGAAGGGACGACCCGCACCTTCCTGTTTAGAACGATTCAGGAAGAGGAGGAAGAAGAAGTAATGGCGACGTCGTTGGGGTCCGAGTCCCCTCGGACATGGGGTACCCGAAAGAGCCGGAATGGGAATATTCTTACTAGAATCAGACAGGCCCAGATTACAGGACGGGGGATGAGCCGAGGAACACAGGTAAAAGACTCTGGGGCTTTCCCGCTTGCTGACCGTTCCGGGAAGAAAGACGCTTAGGCCACGGTGAGCCTGGGACCAAAGTTAACATCCGAACCGGGATAAAGGAAACCATCCCGGCGGTGGGGGATATTCAGATGGCTTTATTATCGGGATATTGTTACCCCGTTTTTACTGGCAGAAAATCGTATTGTGAGCAGTTGCCCACTCTTCCGCAATGAAAAAAATGTATATTGCATGGCTCTAAACAATAGTGTGTGATGTAAAATTGTGTATAGTTTTATAGTCTTTGTTGACGAGTAATTTACCATATCGATAAAGCGACGTTTAACGATTCAGACAATACGTGAGAATTGGAAAATGTGCAGTTTAGGCGGTTGAGACAGTTACAAAGACGGGTCGGCTGGAAGAAATGAACAATAACGGGTATGATCTGTGAATCATATTAAATTACAGTCTTTTCTGCTCGTCTATGGTCTTAAAATTCCCTGAAGGAATACCAGTGCCGCTGATCCATGCAAATAATTATCGCTTCCCTGCGTTGCAACGATTAAAGCAATTTAAATGTTTTAAAGCGATTCGATCTGTGTAAAACAGAAGTTTTGTATAAATCTTTGTTGATAGGTTGGTTCCCAACAAATGTGCAAAAGTCACATCTTAAATTGTAACATCGAATACCGAGAAGCAGGACGGAAATCTTCATAGCCTTTTCGGTTGCAAAAATCTTTAGTTTTTTGAAATCTTTAGTTTTAAAAGTGTACTGTACATTGAGAAGTGTTGACGTTCCCCTTAGTGTCTCAGTTGTAAAAATGCAATGTCTTACCTCGTTTTTTAACATTGCTTGAAATTTAGGCTGTTCTATCACCTGGTCTAACAGTTTTGCAATGTAAATTTTTAAATGTTGCTTTGCTTTTATCTAAAACGTTGTGTTCCAGGAAACGTTACATTCAGCTTGTACTAGGGCGAGGTGGTTGTTTTGTAATCGGTATAGAAGGAACGCGAGTGAATTATTTCTGTTTCTAATCCCATGTTTTGTTTTTAAAACTTAAATACATATGATTGAAGAGGAGGATAGTCTTTTTCTCCATGCTTTGAGGCCGAAACAATCGACGTGGCTTTTATGAAGCATTTAAGAAACGCAGCATCCAGAGCACTTACAATTTTGGAAACCTTCAGCAACAAAAATCTGAATCTTAAAGGCACTCCTTAGCTTTTTGGTTTTCAGCAGGTCTTGGTATCAGTGGAGCAAACCCATACGATCACACACCTGGGATGCTGGCTGTGGTCTTGCTGTTTTCCGAGAAGAGCTTTATATAACCATGAAATACCCATCTTCTTAAATGCATGTTTAGTACAAGAAAAGTAAATGTTGGGGATGGTGGTGTTTGGCTCACGCATGGTATGTGATGTTTTATACAAAATTATTTTTGCCGTTGTTTGGAAGACGTTAGAATAATACAAAGTACTCCTTTGTGAACGTGTTAAAATCATAGTAATTCGGCTCTGCTATGCTGTAATTCTGTCCTTGGAAGAAGACCTCAACCCAGACATTGGTGAAGATGCATTTCACATTCACAAGTCTGCTCTGAATTTCCTGGTCACCTCTTATATGCAGTGTTGAGCATTATGGCAGGATGCATCCACTACAGAATATAACTTTACAGTGTTGAACGGGACTGCAAATGAAGTGAGCTGACATCGTGAAATTTCAGTTGTTGCAAAGGAATAAATCAACAAATGCTGAATCTTCACTGTATTTGCTCTTGGGGGGGGCTGCAAATTTGCACTTTAGGACAATTCCATATCAGAAGAGAAATGAAAGCAAAACAATACATTCAGCAGCCTACTTCCTGTAGCTTTGCTGGTCATGTTATGTATAGTACAGCACTGGGTCCTCAAAACATACTGTATAGCATTCACTCGGTTCAATATATGATTATATTTTGGCTAGATCTGTTTGTTTTTTTTTGTTTGTCAGCCAGCTAATTCTTTGCATAGATCAACATCAGAGCCTCAGCTGTCATGTTTTCAGAAGTTTGAATACAGCTCTGACGTACCTTGTGCAACTCTTAAATAGATTATCAAGAGGTCCAGCAAGCCAGAATGATAAGTGGTTTTAATCAGGATTGAGAAGCAGTATAATTTTTATTACAGGGTGGAAAACCAGGAACCAAGTAGTGTTGTTACAAGCTAAGGAGATGCTGTTTACAGCTTGTTTGTACAGTTTATATATTGTGTTTATATACATTTAAGTGTATAAGCAATGTACAGTATTACAATGGTGACTTAGGTATGAGTGTGATTTTATCATTTTAATAACACAATGTAGTTTCTGTAATTAAATAATAAAAAACTTTATTTTATATATCACCTTTAAAGGTGGCTTCTCAAAGCGCTTTACAGAATAACAATGAATAAAAAGAATACACAAGATAAAACACAATTACAATACACAGAGGAGACTGTGGATGGTGGTACTAAGTATAGTAGGAGCAGAGGGATAAAGAATGGAGTCAGTTAAGTAAAGGCTCTTCTAAAGAAGAAGGTTTTGAGTCTGGATTTGAAGGAGTTTAGAGAATGTGACTCTCTGAATATCCTTGGGGAGAGACTTCCAGATCTTGGGGGCATGACAGGAGAAGGCCCTGTCACCCATAGAGTGTAGATGGGCTTGGTGGACAGTTAGGAGACCAAAATTAGAAGAGCAAAGGTTGTGAGGTGGGCAGTAGGGCGATAAAAGTTCAGGCAGGTACTGAGGTGGAAACTGATAGTGCAGTGATTAGCTTTGGAGCGCTGGGATCCTGGATTTAACTCCTGGGGTGCTATCTGTGTGGCATTTGTATATTCTCCCTTTGTGTGCATGCATTTCCTCTAGGTGCTCAGGTTTCCTTCCACAGTCCAAATACTGGTAGGTTAATTGGCTTCTGGTTCTGAGTTGGTGCGTTTGTCTGTTTATGTGTATCCTGTGATTCACTGGCATCCAGCCCTGTCTAGGGTGTACCCTGACTCGTGCCCATTGCTGGCTAGGTTAGGCTCTGGCTGCCTTGTGACCCTGTGTTGAATAAAGCACTTAGAAAATGGATGAATAGATAGATGAACATTCTACCTGTTTTCTGGTGTTTTATTATTGTTACTGTCTTGAGCATGGAAAACATCTAAAACCACAAAAGGGTTGATGCTTGTAAAAGGTCTTTTATCTTGATGAATCAAAGATTTGGCAGTTGACTGTAGCCAGAAGTATAGAATATTAGTCACATAAAACAGTTGTACTTTTGTATGCTGCTACCAATGGAATAATTGGTCTTTGGCATGGATCTGTTTGTGTATATTAGGTTGTACTTCTTCTGTTTGTTCTGTATGTTGATCATTCTGATACAATATTACAACAAGATTTAATGTTGGTAACAGCTGAATAAAGGCATGGTGCTACACTTGCTATTGCCTAGCCAGTGGAAAGTTTGACTATTGTCCTCTTCTTGTATCTTTTTTTTTTTGCTTTTGGTTTTTTTTTTGAAGGGCTTTTTGGAGGAAATGTTGATTGCCTTCTAAAAAAGCTGTATGTTCTCTACTGTGACTGGAAAATCACAAAGTCTGGACAAAATCTAAATAGCATCTGCAAGCTCACACTTTTCCAAATGTCACCTATGGCAGCTCAGTAATGCAGTGTTTCTTTCCACACACCAGTTCCAGTTTTCACCCACATCTGATGCCAAGGTCCACAGAGCAACCCATCCACTGTCAGAACACTGACTAGTCTGTCTGAGGAAGTCCTACTTGATATTTTGTAGAAAAGCAGAGACATTTTAGCTGCTAGTTTCGGTTCTATGGGTAGAATGATGTCCGAAACACCTAAAATATTGAAGGTCTCTCCTGCTACAGCTTTGTGTTCTGTGTGATGGATCGTCATAGTTGGGTTTGATGTCAGCAGAAGTGTTTAACGAAAGAAAGCGAAGAACAAAGAATAAAGGCTAATGAAAATGTCCTCTCTTTTTTTCAGCTCCCTGAGGCATTGTTACAAGAAAGGGATAAGAAATCCAAGTGGCATGGTATCCCAGTTCTGCTGCAGAAATTGTATGAAAGCAGTCATCCCAACAGCGACCTGTTGCAGACCCATGGTGTACTGAAGGTACAGCATCTCCACACACCTTCTCTTTTAGTTAAGGGAGGGTGTCAAATAAAGTAAAGAACACTTGAGTCACTAAGGTTTATTATAGCCATTCAGGCTGAAGTCAAACTATCTTTAATGTAAATTGACAGCTAGGGTTGGGACAGCATTGTAGACTCCTTTAGCACAAATATGAACTTGGTAGCAATTGTGCTCATACAACACCTTCATATATATATTTTAGTTATAAAGGGGTTTAAAATCTTGGGTTCTGGCACCTGTGGTTTAGGTCAGGAATCTCAAGCCTTGTACCTGGAGAGCCCTGATCCAGTAACTTATATAAGTGCTCTAAATCACCTGTTCCTAAAAAGCACTCAATAGATCAATTAAGTGAATTCTGCTTCTTGATGGCTATCAATTTCAGCTGGATATCTGCTTTTGGTGAATGTGTGACTAATATTTGACATTTTCTGAAATGGTATGTCGTCTATTAACTGAAATTATTATCTGCATATATAATCATAACTATTTCTTGCATTTGTATAGTGCTTTTTTAGCCAATGGGTGTCTTTGGGCTGTGGGAGTCTGGAACAAACTACTCAGCTCTGTTTCCAAAGCCAGAACCTTGGCTTCTTCCAAGAAGTGGCTGGATGAGGTCCTCAGATAATTTAGCTGCGATCAGCCAAATGGTCAAGATGAGCTGAATGTCCTCTTTTTTTTTAATGCGTTCTTATGTTTAATATTGTCCCAATCTTTTTACAGATTCCATCTGGAATTTCTGGAATAAAATGCCTTCCTTTGCTTTGTGATGACCCCTGTATGTCTCTTTGGCAGTGATCTCCACGTCTTTTGTGATTTGCACCAGTATAACTTGTAGTTATGCTTTTCATAAACACTGTTTTTTCAGTTGCTGTATAAGTTGTACATTTTATTTTGCAGGAAATGTCCTCCTTGCTTTCAATGGAAGCTATGACATTTGTAACGGAGGACAGGAAGACTGCTCAAGAATCAACCTTTCCTAACACGTATACCTTTGATCTGTTCGGTGGAGTTCACGTAAGTATTGACATTTTGAGTTTCAGTGGGATGCTTAGTTGTGCCAATTTTTAGCCTGTGCTTTTACAGCACTTGACAAGTTCTGAAACATTAGTTTTTTAAATGTAATGTTATGCACAAATTCTTCTGTCCTCAGTTGTTAGTGGAAATCCTAATGAGGCCGACGCTTACAACGCAGAAGAAGAAACCAAAAAGTAAGTGACAGAAAGCGAATTTTGTGTATTATCTATTCATCACGCATTAGCTCTTTATATTTGCAATATAATTTTTATTTTTAAATTGAGTTTTAAGTGTATTACATAGTGCCAAAACATTTTTAAACTGGTTCTTTTAGTATATTGTTTACAGTTTAGGGTGCAAATGTTTGCGCATAACAAAACAGTCAGTTCCTTAACGATAGTTAAACTTTTTCTTGCATTAGCTTTCTTAATGTCTGCATTTTTTTTTGCATTAACCTTTTTTTTTTGTATTTGCAGTGAGTGATGACTTTGTTAAGGATTGTCTGAGTGTTTTGTACAACTGTTGCATATGTGTAAGTAGTCCTTCTGAAAATACTATTGGTGGGCTGTTTGGATTTTACCTCGGTATCGCAATGGTTTGTGAAATTTTGGAATAATTTCTGAAAGATGCAGAATATGAAGTACTATATAGTAGCCACAGAAACTGCAGCATGTCGGTTGTAACGCTTTTACTGTTTTCATAAATGGAGATTAGGGCTTTACAGAAAGCTTGTGGTTCTAGATCTGTGCTAATAAAAGCATGAAAATTACATGCATATAGTTAATATTAGTTAGAAATCAAGTGTGCCTTTTCTTGTAGACGGAGGGAGTCACCAAAACCCTGGCTGCCAGGAGTGACTTTGTCCTGTTCCTGTTTTCGTTGATGACGAATAAGAAAACATTTCTGCAAACTGCCACACTAATAGAAGACATTCTAGGAGTTAAAAAGGTGAGTAAATCAACATGAACTCATAGAATATTTAAATTAAGTGCAATACGTGAATGAACTATAAAGTGAGATCTGTGGTTATCCGTAAATCAGGTCTTCAGGAACTCTGTACTATGATTTATCTTAAAAAGTGTTATCTTTTGAATAAATTCTTCAGTGCTTTTTTGAAAAGCTTTTCTTTTTAAAACGTGACTGTTTCTGTCTTTGGAAAGGTAGGATAGTCTTTATTGTGCCTTCTGGTGTTCCGATTTAACATTTACCTAGAAAATGGCATGTTAAATCAAAATTCTGCTGACTTGCAGAGAGATTACAGTCCTCAATATTAAAAGTTGTAGAGAACTGCTGTGCATGCGTATTCTTTGCAGGATGTCAGTTTTGTCTTATTACTCATAATTCCTAAACTACTGTCCAAAAACACCAAAACACTGGTTTTATCACAACACCTGAATATTTTCTTCCATATTAAAGGAGATAATCCAGCTGGAGGATATTCCCAACCTGCCCAGCCTGGTCCAGAGCTTTGACCAGCAGCAACTTGCCAACTTCTGCAGAATTCTTTCTGTTACTATCTCCGAGCCCGACATTGGGAATGACGACAAACACACCCTCCTAGCCAAGAATGCTCAGCAGAAGAAGAACTCGAACCCCTCTCGGGCAGAGATTAACCAAGGTAGGGTAAGACAGTCTCCTTCAGAATTCAACATTTCTGCCAAATGTATGAAAGTTATTTCTGTCTGACAGGTGACCCTGAACACTCATTATCCCAACCTTTGACATGCATTTGATAATTCCAGTGTCCTAATTTAGCCTCAATTTTGTCATGTCCAACATAAGCTGAAAAGAACACATTTATGTCTGCATATCTTTGCTGTTGTATGTGGTAATAAGCACTAAATTCCAATGCTTGAAACATTGCTATATAAAAAGTATCTAAAATGCAGATGGTGTTGCATAATTATCTCTTAAATTAGGTCACTGTGTGCTGATAAAGAGTACAGTTTATTATAGTAATTACAGTTTAAAGAGATGTTACTTGAAAATAAATAGAAAAGTGTTCTGCTCATGTACCGGGTAAGAGAAGAATTTGCTTCTCGTGCCTGTCAGAAATAAATTGGACAAACGTAATACATTTATTTCAGTAGATTCTGATTCTGTGTGTTTGTTCAAATATTGTTTTATTTTGAGTTGTACTTTATTAGTTTAAACTTTATTGCAAGACGTAGATTTTTTTCGGTATTGTGGTTCTGAATGATTTCTAAGTGCCTTGCTGTGCTTTTCCAGTCACTCTTCTGAACATCCCTGGGTTTATTGAGAGACTGTGTAAGCTGGCTACACGGAAAGTGTCGGAGGCCACAGGGACATCGAACTTCCTCCAGGAGCTGGAAGACTGGTACACTTGGCTAGACAATGCCCTCGTGCTGGATGCTCTCATGCAGATGGCCAGCGAGGAGGCTGAGCACAGCAGCACAGGTGACACTGAGCTCATTATGTACTACAAGCAAATGTTCCGCTTAAGATCAGAATTAAGTCTGAAGCTTAAAATCAGAAAAACAATTCATATATGTCATCTAAGTGATCACGCCTTTTTCAGAACTACATTTTCATGCCAATGTTGTGTGCTTCTGGAAATAGATTTGCACGGTGTAAAGCTTCTGCCTGCATTGAGAAAATATAGAGATGTGATAATGAGAATGCTTGCCCTTGCAGAATCCTCAGATGAGAGCACATTGGCCACCAGCCCACTGAGGCACCGGTTACCCCAGTCTATGAAAATTGTCCATGAGATCATGTACAAAGTGGAAGTGTTGTATGTGTTGTGTGTCCTGCTTATGGGGCGACAGAGAAATCAGGTGAGGGGCTATTGGCAAATACCAATTTATATCATTCTTAATAACTGTGAATTCTACTGATGTGTCTGCAACCTATAACAGTTATTACTTTTGCTTAAGCTATTCTGCCATGTAAATATAATGGTGCCAACCATCACAGGGTTGTGATAGAGATAAATAATCAATACTTAATCTGTCCTATATGTCTGAAGAGCAGAGTTTCTTATTAAACAAATTTTATTTCAACAGGTGCACAAAATGCTGGCAGAGTTTAGGTTGATTCCAGGCCTTAACAATCTATTTGATAAACTCATCTGGAGGAAACACACTTCAAACCATGTTCTTCATGGACAAAACCAGAACTGTGATTGTAGTCCTGTAAGTACACAGAGTTATGATGATCCTAAAAACAAATTTTATCTGCTTGGAAATTTGTTTATTTTAAATACATGTTAAGCTGAACCCACATCACTTTGTGGGTTCAGCTTTAAATTATTTAGATTTATGCAAATAGATTCTCTTCTTTTTTGTGTTTATAGGAAATTTCCTTCAAAATCCAGTTCCTGCGACTACTTCAAAGCTTTAGTGACCATCATGAGTGAGTCCCTCTTGATGCACATTGATCCACTTCACAGCATAGCCTTGTCTGTGTTTTTAGTATGTTCTCATTAAATGATCTGATGTTATATTGTACAGTTTAGTTTTTACAAAAACATTAATATCAAAGAGTTCTATCTGTAATTCAGTGAAAACTTCATACATCTAGTGCTCCTGCAGTTCTTAAGGGTATCCTCTTTCCTGGATCATATAGTGTACTTAAACCCTCTGTAAACAAAAATATGCACTATATGTGAGAAGGAGCCAGAAGTTTCCTCTTTGTATTCGTTTTATGACCTTGTTACTGAGGTAATTTAATTTTCTGGTGTTCTTACATGTTAAAGATAGATTTTTAACTAACTAGCTTTTGACTTTTTTAACATTCATCTAAATAAACGTTTGCTTTCCTTTCGCCATTTAGAAACAAGTACCTGCTTTTGAACAGTCAGGAACTGAATGAGCTCAGTGCCATCTCCTTGAAAGCCAACATCCCAGAGGTAGAGGCATTGGTAAACACCGACAGGTAGGATGAACAGGAAATATACTTTGACTTGTGAAGTAGAGCTGTAAATATTAGAAGGGAGCATGCCCTGTATCATCCTAAATTGATGTATTGTTTTTAGGCTCTTTTACTGTGCAATATCACTAAAGTGACAAGTATTTTAGTCCTGGTAGCAGGAATCCCACGGAATACCCAACTTATTTTACTAGTATCTTTTTGTTTTGCTAGGCCGAAGAAAATATTTTGGTGATTTTTGAGCTTTCGTTTGAAATTACACAACTTTTTCAGTCTGCTTAAGATTGAGGGTTGTGTCTTTGAGGGAAAATTAGAATTAAGAAATGGCAAAGGGGTAGTCAGGTTGCATTCATGTTAAAAAGGAAACTGCCAAGAAAGCAGATTGAATTTGTGTTAACTTCTTGAAATGACTTTTTGCATAAAACCTTCCGAAAGGTATTTTGAAATACTGATCTTTATTCCCTGTCCAAACAGGAGTTTGGTATGTGATGGTAAGAAAGGCCTCCTAACAAGGTTATTAACAGTTATGAAGAGAGAACCTGCAGACTCCTCGTTTAGGTAAGGCTCTTTTCTTGCCTTGCCTTCGTAATTTTTGTGTTTAATTTGGGCCCACGCATCTACTTTGCCTATTCATTTTTGCCCACATGCAATATGCAGACAGATTTGAGGGATGGACATGTGTTCGTCCATCTGGGGGGATTTGTCCTTCTCAGTGGTTGGTATTAATTTCGACTCTATCTCTGCAGGTTCTGGCAGGCAAGAGCAGTAGAGAGCTTTCTGAGAGGGGCAACATCCTATGCTGATCAAATGTTTCTGCTGAAAAGAGGATTGTTGGAGGTAATGCTGTAGATATTGTTGCATTACATTGGCATATTTTTCCCTTCATTTTCTCATTTTGTACATTGTGGTGTCATGCCTTTTTGTGAGAAGTTTTTCACTGACAGTCCTTGGCATGCTGTGTGGTAAATGTTGGCCAGCTCTCACCTTTTTTTTTCTTCCTTTGAACAGCACATTCTGTTCTGCATTATTGACAGCGGGTGCAAGTCAAGGGATGTATTACAGAGTTATTTTGACCTTCTGGGAGAGCTCATGAAGTTCAACATTGATGCCTTCAAGAGGTTTAACAAATATGTTAATACAGAAGAGAAGGTAAGCACTTTTTTTTCCAAGCACTAAGAAACTGATTTTGATCATGATTTTTACTTTATGCTTTAACTAGATCACAACCATCCCAAAAGTATTCAGAATTTCAGAACATATTGTTACAGTTTTGAACAATTCATTTGTAATATGGTGTCATTTTATGCTTTGTTTTCTATCTTTTCAGTTTCAGATCTTCTTGAATCAGATCAACAGTTCTTTAGTGGACTCCAACATGCTCGTTCGGTGCATTGTTTTATCTCTAGACAGATTTGAGAGCCAAACAGAAGATGTCAAAGGTAAACTGGGATTATTTAAGTGGTCAGTTTAAGTAGCTGCTTTGGGTGCTTTCGGAAAAAGGAACTTTTAAAATGCAAAGCAAGTATATTTAGCATCTTTATCATATGCAGTCTATTATATGTACATTGGCGATAATGCTCTTATTTATAGTGGTTTCCTTTTTTTTTCAGTTGTTGAAGTCCTTTCAGAGTGTTGCCTGTTGTCGTACATGTCTCGAGTGGAGAACAGACTGTCTTTTCTTTTCCGGCTAATTAATATCATCAATGTGCAGACACTCACACAGGCAAGATTTTGATATTAAAACCTTTTTTTTATTCTCATGCTTTTCAAATTTTCTTAGCCCCCTTTTGATGTCAGAAAATGTGGAAGCTCAGTCTTTTTGCTTTGTGTATGCATGTAAGTGTTTTTCGTGGGACAGGAAGAGTACTTTATCAAGAGCATGAATTTCTGTGATCAAAGGCTTTTGTGTAACAGACTGAAACTATATTCATACATGTTGTGGAAGTAGTGGTGTTAGTCCTCAGATAAATGGTTTTTAATAGCATTATCATTCTGCAATAATTGTTCTGCAATAATTGTTCTGTATAATTACCAATTTGAGTGTAGTAGGTAAATTTCAGTATAGTGCAGACAGTTTTCTGGTCACTTCATGTGTATGTATAAACTGAACAATGTTCCATCTTAAAGGATAGGTAAACTCAAGTGACCTGTTCATCCCAGAGATGTGATTTCTTGTTTGTAGGAGAATGTCAGCTGTTTAAACACCAGTCTTGTGATCCTGATGCTGGCCCGGAGGAAGGGAAAGCTCCCATTTTACCTGAATGCTCTGAGGGAAAAGGAATACGCAGAGAAATATCCTGGTTGTCTCCTCAACAACTTCCACAACCTCCTTCGTTTTTGGCAGCAACATTACCTCAACAAAGACAAGGACAGCACCTGTTTGGAAAATGTAAGTTTCACCCAAGTGTCTGTCTTTCACAGGATTTTTTTTTTTTAGAATGCGTAATATTAAAGGCAAAACCTATAGATTTTAAGCATTTTGAATTTGTTTAGGTCCATGAGTAAAATTAACATGTCTGGTAAATCCTACAGTTTGTGCCATGCATGCATTTGATTGAGCCTGCCACCTTAGTGTTCAGAGCCCCTGCATTGTATTACCAAATGCTTTTAGAGTATTTCTTTGCAAAAACCTCAGATGATCAAAGTTATTTTGCACGTGATTTCTTGTCATTTTTATATAAATCAGCTTGCTGAATGTACTCTTTACCACACCATAGTTTTTTCTTCAATGCTCCCCCTTCTTGCTTTCCAGAGTTCCTGCATTTCTTTCAGCTATTGGAAAGAGACAGTGTCGGTACTTCTCAGCCCTGACCGGACTTCGCTGTGTGCCATAGCAAGCTACATTGATGAGGCATACATGGACATTGACAGAGATTTCATTGAGGATTAATCCTGGGGGACTTCTGACAACAATAGACTATAATTCAGAGTGCATATCCCAGCCCGTGATTATTCAGGGATCCATCATTGTACAGTGTTTGTGTTTGATGCTGGAAATATGGAATGTTAATTGATCATTGCAGGTGTGTTTTAACCCACAGCAGTTATGGACTTTTTCTTTTTCCCCAAACAAAAGTTAACCCAGAACAATTTATTATTCAGGGACATGAAATGATGGTAGTTACGATGGTGGTTTGTTTTTGACTGAATTAAATAGATCTTTTTATATATATTAACAATATATAAAAACTATATATAAATACAGCAAATCTATAAAAAAGAAATACTTTCCATATAGGTATGCCAATGTTAAGACATGGATATCTGTTATTACCATACATACAAAATGGCATCATCTGCATTCAAGCATAACCTTGAGGAAATTTGCAGATTTCTCTTCTATTCATCTGGAGATGGATGCTTGTGGATGTGAAGTCTAACACAGTCAGCTCTATCCTATACAGCATGAAGACGAACCTGTATTTCAAATCAGTTGCTGAAAGTTGGTGCCAGAGGGAATGGGACACCCAAATATTTTCTTTTGTTTTTGCTTTAGTGGTATTATTAGCTGTTAATCATCAGATGACATTAGTGTGACAGTTACAGTTTTAGACAGGTTGGCAAAGTGTAATCCACTGTTGATCTTAATTTTTTTATTAATGCTTAGAACACATCTGTAAAATTGTGAATAGGTTATATCTATGCAGGCTAAGGCATTTCTCATTGTAATGTTTTATCCCCCTTCTGAATGAGAGTGGAAAAAGCCCTCCACCTTCTCTAGTATAGTAACTGCTTCACTATTCGAAGGTGTTTATCCCAGTTTTACATCCTATCTCTTGGTCTTGCAAAATTTGATGGATATAGGTGACTGGAGTATGTTCCTCCAGGAACCAGCTAAGCTGCTTTTGTTAGGATGTTTAAAACTGCCTGGAAATCCATTAGCAGTTATCTTCTCTTAAGGTCGCTACTAATATCAGACAAAACTTTAGTTCTTGAATTCTCTGGTTGGCCTGAGTAACCCTCTGGAAAAACATGGTTTGAGCTACCTCATTTTTCAACCCAGCACCATACGTTTGTATAACCATTTTCATCCATAGGGTTACAATAAACTTTTTCAGCCATGCTAAACTATTCTGACTTTACAAGTGAGAACCTTTCTATATGGACACTTTAATCTGCTTCTCCCCATGCTTGGTAAATTGCCTGATGTTTTCCCCAGAAATTCTGATTCACATTTGCAAGGCACAGAGTCGGAAACTGGATTGTCCTTCGGCAATGAAGAAAAGAGAATTTAAAGGGTAGCTACATTGCTGCTATTTTTTTTTCTTTCCTGGGAATCTGGTAACCTGGGTGTATTTTTAATTGCTTCCTCAAAATATTTTCTTTTGGGTTACATTTTGAGCCCTCTACCCAAATTACCCATAATTATGATAAATATTAATTTGCAAAAGTTAATTTTTTAAAAGAAATTTGCACTTTTTCAAAGACATAACTGATAGGTTTGTTTTTTGTAACATAATGCCTAATCAAACATGATTGGCTTTTGTTTTTCCAAGCCTTCTGTATAGATACCACTGAATCATCTTTCTCATTGTGCACAGGGAACAGTGCTGCCAGTATTCAAATTGAATGATTTGCACCAAGAGGAAACATGGTTGTTGTCAAAATAGGTGCTCTTACAATGTTATATACGTACAATTCGTACTGGTACTTTAAATGTGTGCATCTGGGACATTAACTCTTAATTCAGGATTTTTTTTTACATAAGAAGATTACACTACAGACTTCCTCATCATGTTTTGCAGATGACCAGCTCTCCCTAAGTTTGTACACACTTAATGGTTTAGTATTTGAAGTGAAGGATAAAAGAATCTCATCTGGTGTAACGGCTGTTGCAAAGAAATATTTTTCCAGTTCAGCAGTTGTAACTAGATTGATTTAAGTCTGTCTTTGGAACTAGGAAAAAAACAATTTGTGATATGCAGGGTTCTAGCCAAACAGCTGCAAAAATAACCTTTAGCCAAGATTGAAATTTCTTGTTTCTATTTGCTTTGCTCTTGTGTATCACAGCAACTTAAGTTTTACTGATCTTTTGGCTTCACAAGGAGCACGATTTTAAGTTTTAGTATTTGAAATATACTTTTTAATAGTAGAATTTTATTTAAAACGTACCAGCTCATCAATGGAAGTTGCATTTGCTAAGTATGGGAACTAAATTTTAGAAATTGTAATTGTACAGGTCTATTAATTAAGATATTGATCAGTCTAATGTATATTCTGTACCAATTAAAATCCTAGATATGAACAATAGCAGTTATCAGCTGTCTGCTATAGACAGGTGTGGTGCTGGTGCTATGCTCTTTGCAGTGAATTCTGATTGTATTCCTCACGTCTCTTCTCTGTGCTGTAGGTACTTTAGAGTACATGACTGAATTTTGGATAACTAACCTTGCTTCGTTCCTTTTTCTTTCTTGGTTAAAAGTGGCTGCCATAGATGCAGACTCTGATTTTTTTTTTTCCCCTATTTTAATTTTTTTTGAATTTTTTGCTTTTCTTTGTATAGTTTCGACTTCTGTGGATGATTTAGTAACTTTCATTATTTGTGTTGAGTATCTCACAAAACTAGGAACATACACCCCATGAGTGTCTTACGCAGCAACTTGCCTCCCAGTAGTACATTCGAAACCTAGTGTCCCCAAGAGACCTCTTCCCTGATGTGCAGCACTCTCCCTGCCTCCACAGCTACAATCCTCCAGTCTTTAGTTACTGCTCCTCTCCATGTCTTCTTTTCTGTAATGGTTGCGGTTTTCATAATTTAACTTTATTGTTTGTAAATTTAAAAATAAATTGTTCTCACTACTTTAATCTAGTGTGGTGTGTTAGCTTCTGATTCACTTGACACTAAAAAAGGTTTGTTAGAGATGGTATTGAGTAATTGCCTGCTTCAGTAATTGCCTACATTTATAATGTCTGTTATAAATTGTAGACTTGCCATTGCCCTGTATTTCCTAATGAGAATGGTAAGTGTGAGAGGGCTTTGGATCCCTATTCCATACCTGTGGCATAGCTCAGTGGTGCTGGTGGTCATTATAAGGTTGTTTTAGAATTAAGTGGTTTGCTTATTCATTGTGTGTGTGTGTATGTTCCATTCATAGTCAGATCTTATTTTTATGGAAGAATGTTTTAACCAATATTTTCTTGTTCAGAATTAATTCCACATCTTAGCAGAGCACCATTTTTGATAAGAGTCGCTCGGTGTTGTATGATAGTCAGGCCTCACCTTGGGACTTGCTTGAAAACGTGGAATTCATAAAGGACTTCATTTTGCTCTTTTACTGTAGCAAATGTGATCTGGAGTGCTGTGAAGTTGCAGATGGAATAGAAGGGTTTTTATCACAAAGAGACCGAGGGCAGTTAAATTGTAAATGCTTTATTTCACACTCCCATAGCTGTTGCAGCTAAGTGACTGTTTTCTTCTGTAAGGTGCAGAGTAACTTCTGTTTTATTCTGCTTGCTGAAATAAAAGGAAATACTGTCAGTCTTGAACACAAACGTTAATGGCTGTTATGAAGCAAGTGAAGTATAATGGTTGTTTAATCTAAATTATAAAAATCCTTATGCTTATATAGAATGTTTCTGGACACTTCACTCAAAGTGCTTTATGGGTAATGGGGACTCCTCTCCATCAACACCAAAGTGCTCCAGTGTGGTCACCACACTTCAGCTATCGGTGGGGAGGAGAGCAGAGTAATGAAGCCAATTCATAGATGGGGATTATTAGGAGGCTATGATTGTTAAAGGCCAGGGGGAATTTTGTCCAGGAAACCAGCATTAACACCAATACTTTTTTCAAGAAACGCCCTGGGATTTTTTATGACCACGGAGTCGGGGCCTTGGTTTTACATCTCATCCGGAAGGGTGGTGCCTTTTCTTACAGCATAGTGTCCCTGTCACTATTCTGGGGCGTTAGGACCGCAGGGTGAGCGCTCCCTGCTGGCCCCACTAACACCTCTTCTAGCAGTAACCTTAGTTTTTCCCAGGAGGTCTCCCATACAGGTACTGGCCAGGCTCACACCTGCTGAGCTTCAGTGGGTTTCCAGTTGTGAGATGCAGGGCAATATAGCTGCTGGCTATAAACTTAGAAATCATTGCAATGAAGATGCTCTATGGTCTGTAGTAACCTTCATTGAAAGTTTGCTTATGGCTCCTACACGCTGGTTGACAGTGCTTTGCACTTTGCCTACCTTGCCTCCCTGGTCTCGGGTGCGGACACGCAGCTTGTTGACCTGAGATTCAGCCATCTCAGCTCGCTCCTCAGCATCATCCAGCTCGTGCTGGATCTTCCTGTACTTGGACAGGTTGGAGTTGGCTTGCTCTTCCTGGAAGGGGGAGAGGGATGGGACAGACAGATTAAGAAGAGCACACAGCTTCTGATGTACCTACTGTTATGAAGTATAGGTGCATGAAGATGGTTAAGTAATGGCTAACATTACTTTTATTTTTTCATAGTGGGGACCCATGTTGTTAATACTTTAAAGCTGAAACACATGCTTTTGGTTCCTTGCAGAGTTTTAAAGGTCTATTTATCACATTTCTGAGTAGTAAAAGCTGCTACAGGTGAAAATGGGAGGCTTGCAGGAACTGGGAGGTGATGTTTCTGCTGTTTAAGTGCTTTTAAACTATATTGTTTTTTCCATATTAAATCTGAAATGATTTTTTATTTTTTTCCCCTCCAAAAACAATTTCTGTAGTTGTGAAAATGGCCCGGGCTTTTTTCACGGTTAACATAAAGCGTTCAAGTTCGGTCCGTGTCGTACAGTGCGACTTACCGCTTCCTCGGCCTGCCTCTTGTAGCTCTTCACCTTGATCTGCAGCTTGTCAATCAGCTCCTGCAGGCGAGCCATGTTCTTCCTGTCTTCTTCTGTCTGCACAACGACAGCGAGCTTCAGCCTCTTCTATTAAGGTTTTATGTGTATGACCTATATTTGTGAACTGACTAATACATCCGTAGATATATTCTACTAGCAATAGCCCTTTGCCAGCATTAGAACAGGCTAAGATTTAGCCCAAGTCTTTGAATGGAAATCAAGGACCAGGTCCTGTGTTCAGGTAAGCTTTGTGACTGTTGACTTAAGACTGAGTACCTGGTAGGTGAGCTCTTTAATTCTCCTCTCATACTTGCGAACTCCCTTCTGGAATTCGTTGCTCTTCTTCTGTTCGCTCTCCAGTTCGCCCTCCAGCTCCCTCACCTGGGGAAATGAATAGTTTGCTTCTTGATTTGTTTTGTTTTTTATAAAACCTGGGAGTAGTAAAAACAAGATTTAAAGGGATCTCCGACCATCAGGGATGATTAGGGTATGACATGCATGAGAAAGTAGTTTTTCTTAATTGTAGATGAATTAGTGCAGTTTGATGGTGCCTTCGGCATTACATGGTACAGTGACAAGGGCCACTCCACTGGCTCACCCGGGCCTCCAGTTTCTGAATCTGCTTCTTTCCACCCTTCAGCGCGATCTGCTCAGCCTCGTCCAGGCGCATCTGCAGGTCCTTGATGGTCTGCTCCATGTTCTTCTTCATGCGCTCCAGGTGGGCGCTGGTATCCTGCTCCTTCTTCAGCTCCTCCGCCATCATGGCAGCCTGCGGTGTGATGGAGAACAGACCAGTCACCAGGTGCAATGAGCACAGATTAGAGAACACGTTGCCTTGAGCAGAATATATTTGCTCCTGTTACTTTGGCCAACCATAAGTCATTCACAAATTTAACGTACCATTTGTATATTACATATCCTTTGATGTAACTGAATGTGATGAAATATGATCAGCTTTTTGTATTGTAATGTAGAAAGTATTATAGAAAACTGAAGGCAATTAACACCTTTGACAAGCTGGGTATCACACATGACCAGAAATTTAAAGTTCGGCAGTGCATTGTGATGTCGATGAACAGGGTTAATCAACAAGCTTTTATATCCGTATTTCTTACGTCAGTTATGGCCTTCTTGGCTTTTTCCTCAGCATTGCGACACTCCTGCACAGCCTCGTCCACTTCGCTGGACAGCTGTGCAATATCATTCTCCAGTTTCTTCTTCTGGTTAATAAGTCCAGTATTCTGGAAGATAAGGCAACAAAGGGGGCAGAATTTATTAGACTGAATGACATGCTAATGAAGGAAGTTGGTTTGCTTAATAATCCAAGTCCATGAGTCCCCAACATCCAAACAGCATATAGATCTTTTTCCAGTCCTCACAGAACATTGTGTAATGGATTTTCTTAGTGAACAAGCATGTACACTAAGTCACATATCTAAGACTGCAATGCATTACAGCTAAACTTTACCTTTAGTGTCTACATATGCATGAGTCTGCAAGTTCTTAAGTGGGATCTGGGGACTTGTTTCACCAACCCCAATTTGAAGTAGTCTTGGATTTGCTTAATTAACATAACATGAGGTCATCCAAGATTAGTGCTACTCAGGGAATTTCAATTATTATGCATTTCTAAGGCAGCAGTGTACAAATTAAATATATACAGTATATGCAAGAATACAGATTTTAAGGAACACCATCTTAGCTGTGGCTTCTGGCCCTTGTGTGGGTGGACATAAGCGTTGGACAGACCTGAGAGTGCAGCAGGTTGACTCTCTCTGTGGACTCCAGCAGCTCATGCTCAGCCAGCTTGCGACCACGGTCGGTCTGCTCCAGGCAGCTGCGCAGCTCTTCCACCTCCGCCACCAGCAGGTTGTTCCTGCGCTCCACCACTGCAGTTTGCTCCTTCAGGTCTTCGTTTTGGTGGAGTGTGTCGTCCAGTTCAATCTGCAGGTCCTGGGAACGCAAAACCGAAATGGACTTATCTGAATTTGGAGGTTGCCATTTTGTTTCAAAGCGGTCGAGGACATGCACTGTTTCGCCACTCCGCTGACCCCCTGGCGGATGCGAACCTTGATCTGAGCCTGCAGCTGGCGAACAAGTTTCTGGGACTCTGCTGCCTGCCGGTTGGCGTGGTTCAGCTGGATCTCCATTTCATTTAGGTCCCCTTCCATCTTCTTTTTGAGCCTGATAGCCTCGTTGCGAGACTTTGCTTCAGCATCAAGGGTGGCCTGCATGGACTCTATGGCACGCTGGTGGTTACGCCTGAGAAATAGGGGAGGGCAGAGCCTAGGATTAACCATTTGCTTTCCTTAAAGGTTATCCTGCAACTGCCTATACTGCCAACTGTGAGCAGGGTGATGGCCCAAGATGGGTGATTGTTAGGCGGTTAAAGTTCTCTTGGATTAAGGCATAAACAATGACCCCTAAAACATACCAAGTGCCTGTTGCCATGTAGACCAGTCAATGAGAAATGCACACTTGTCTAAGAAGAGTTGGGTTACCTAAGGTTGTCGATTTCCTCTTCCTTTTCCGCCAGCTTCCTGTCAATTTCAGCCTTGATCTGGTTCAGTTCTAGTTGGATTCGTAAGGTCTTGCTTTCCTCATGCTCGAGGGCACCCTGGAAGCATAAATACAGTGAAATGTTGTCATTTATCATTTGTAATTCTAAAGCCAAAAAAATGGTTTTGAACATCTTTGTGCAAAATTTGCTACTCAAGATACAGCTGCAAGAATGAAGACATGACCATGTGGTTTAACGGAGATGTGCAACCTGGGCAGATGCTTACCTCTGCCTCCTCCAGCGCTGCCTGGATATCGCTCTTCTCTGCCTCCAGGCCTTTCTTCATCTTCTCCAGTTCGTGGATTGTCTTTCCTCCTTGGCCGATCTGATCCGTGAGGTCCGAGATCTCCTCTTGAAGAAACACAGACTCTTATGAGATCAGAAGCAGGAGTACGCATTTTTAAAACATTTGCTGCATCGTGTTATGGTTGCGGAACACGATAAACTGTTCCCAAATTCAAGCTAAACTTCCAAAGAAGATTAAACCTGCAGGGTAAATGCAGGTCCTGATCTGTAACTGGTCTGCAAGCCCAGTCTTCACTCATACCTTGGAGGTTCTTGTTCTCCCGCTTGATTGTTTCCAGGTGGTCCAGCGACTCCTCGTAGGCGTTCTTGAGCTTGAAGAGCTCCGTACTCAGGCTGCGTGCCTCCTTCTGCGAGCCCTCCAGCTCGGACTGCGTCTCCTCGTACTTCTGCTTCCACTCGGCCAGCACCTTGTCAAAGTTGCGCTGCTTCTTGTCCAGGGCGGCGGCGGCGGAGTTGGCTCTTTCCAGATCCACCACCAGGTCCTCGATCTCGGTCTGCAGGCGGTGTTTCGTCTTCTCCAGGGAGGAGCACTTGGCGTTGGACGCCTCCACTGCTTCCTCGGCGTCCTGCAGCCGCGATGCCAACTTCTTCCTGCAAAGGAGGTCATTGCATTGGATTTTTTTACACGTGTCCCATGGTTCATCCCGTTGCACCACTCCCTCGCTGTATGAGTAACCAGTATACAAGATTTAGATTATACGAGAAGTATTCATTCCTATCTTTCATGAAACAAGCAAATTGTCACTCTTACGAACTGAGATCTCATTGCCATTCTTGTATCTTCTCTAATGAGGAATTTGTTTTTTAATAATTACATTTTATTTTTTTATAATTAAGACTTGCATAGGTTAACTACATATACAGCAGGATAGTTAATGTTTATGCATTAGCTAATGACAAATTCAGTGTACTGTATACTGAATATATAGTTTTGGTAGGATAAATTATTTGAAAATTCCTCTTTGGGTTTCCACAGTTCTGTGAAAATATCCCCCCAGAAAAACTCGATTTAAGCTTCTTGCTCATCGGAGACACCGAGAGAGTGATGAAAGAAGGCCTTACTTGGCCTCCTCGAGCTCCTCGGTCCTCTGGATGGCGTCCGTCTCGTACTTGTTCCGCCACTGCGCCACCTCGGCGTTGGCCTTGGACAAGGCCCGCTGCAGCTCGGACTTGGCCTCCTGCTCCTCCTCGTACTGCTCCCTCAGCAGGTCGCAGTCGTGCCGCGAGGCCTGCAGGGCGTGAGCCAGAGCGTTCTTCGCCTGCGGCCGAAAAAGTAAACACCGTGTCAGATACACAAGTGTGTTAGCGGTCCTAAGGTTAAACATTTACACGTTTTTATACATAAAACTAAATTTGAGTCATGTACAGGACTGATGAAGTACTAAATACTATCAATGTCCTATTATCACTAGTCAGCATTTCTGTATGAGATTTCAATGTTAATATGACCCGAAACGCATACTCTGCTTTTTCACAATGGGTGAGGTGAGACTCTGGTCGTAAACAGAACAGGAGTGTTTTTGCAGTCCCTTGCAGAAGCAAGCACCTTGTTCTCCTCATCCAGCTGTTTCTTGAGTTCCTCTGTGGCTTGGCTGAAGGAGATCTTAGTTCGGCTCAGCTGCGTGACCAGGGCTTCACGTTCTTCTAACTTTCTGGCCAGTTCCGCTGCAAAGAGAGATGGGAAAGGGGGACACCTATGTATTACAAGAAATAAGTATTTAAAAAAGTACTTCTTCCTAGATTTGTCCCAGAAAGAAGGTTCTTTTAGTAGAATAAAGGTTTCATCACAACCCAACAAAGAACATCGCAATAAATAATCGTTGGTAGTTTTTATATTTTCTTGTGGGTTTGGAGCTTCGATGCTAATGGATAATCCTGCTTGAAAATCCATGTTTTGTATGAGAATCTACCATACTTCTTTTTATATTCTTACCGTTCTCTGCCTGGACCTTGGCCCGTTGGGATGAGACATCATTTAGCTGGCGCTGAAGTTCATCCACTTTGGACTTGCTTTCATTCAACTGATCCTCATACGTCCTACACATCTTCTCAGCATTGGCCTATAAAAATAAATTGAAACCTCGTGCGTACAGAATTGGGCTATGAAAGCAAAAACAGTCTGAAGAGAAGCCATGAAGTGCCTGATTTATCTCCGATCGTAATCAAACAGGCACCTTGATTTAGCTTACCTTGGACTTGGTGATCTGCTCCAGGCTTGAGCTCAGGTCATCCACCTCCATCCTGGCCTCACTCTTCTCTTTCTCCAGCTTCTGTTTGACCCGCTGCAGGCTGTCTATCTGCTCGCTCAGCTCCGCCACGCTGTCGGCATGCTTCTTCCTCAGAGCGGCCGCAGTGGACTCGTGGTGCAGCATGGCCTCCTCCAGGTCCCGGCGCAGCTTCAGGAACTCCGCCTCGCGCTTCTTGTTCATCTCGATCTGGGCGGTGGTGGCCCCGCCGGCCTCCTCCAGCCTCTCGCTCAGCTCCTCCAGCTCACGGGACACCTCGGAGCGCTGCTTCTCCACCTTAGCCCGGGCGGCCCTCTCCGCCTCCAACTCCTCCTCCAGCTCCTCGATGCGCGCCTGGCCACGCCCCCACGAGGGAGGAATCGTTCAGTGTTTAACGTCAGAGTAAAACTCACTGGTGACTGATGTGAGGTCGGTTATTCAAACTTTCCTACTTGTATTCGACTGAAGCTCAAAACTTTAACGTATGAATTTTTCTTTTGCGCTTTTTTATTTGATTTTCCAGGTATTTGAGTGTAACATTTGCCGTGACAACTACTACAGAGAACAGTGCAAATGTTTATATTTACTAGTCTTGAAGGATTATTTCAGTTTTCACCAAATAAAAAACAGTGATGTTTTAGACAAGCCCTTAGTGATTAGAAATGTAACTTCATTTGAAATGGGTGCTGCATGAATCCCAGTCCTGGAGCCCTGGAGTAAGACTGTCAGGAGCTCCTGGCAGCAGAGGTTGGTGCTCACCTGCAGTTCTTTGATTTTCTTCTGAAGCTGCATCACCATTACTTGCTCATCTTCAATCTTCGAGCTGAGCTGGTTCATTTCAAAGTCCTTCCTAGAAGAAGGTGAAAAAAGAAGCTGCTTAAAGGTGTCTCATTTCTGTTAGGATTCACTATCTTTCTATCTATACTATATTATATCTATATTATCTTTCAGTACAATGTACTATACTATCTTTTTTCTGGTGCGGCTAATAGAGTAAATTCTAGTGCAAAATTGATGTCAATTTCTTGATTTTCAGCACAGGGAAAAACATGTTAAAGATTCTTCTTTACATGTAAGAACACATTCTATAATATACCACAGTTCTTGGTTCTAAGATTATATGGCTACTGCCATCTGGAACAAGACACGTTGCTCTCACTTTTTCAGTTTTTCTTCCAGCTGCTGTTTGTCATTTTCCAGGTCCATGACGGACTCCTGCGACAGTTTGAGGTCTCCTTCCAGCTTGCGCTTGGCCCGTTCCAGGTCCATTCGCACTTTCTTCTCCTGCTCAAGGGAGCCTTCCAGCTGGAATGGGGAGCAAGGTCTGCTTTCATTCATGGCCGAGATTCAAGTCTTACTTCTCACACGCACAGCAGACGTTACTTTCTAAAACAAACTCCACAGGCAAACTCTTAAAACGCTTATAATTTGATCAACTTCAATAACTGATTAGCAGGATCAGTTGTACAGCTATATATTGGTGTTACTTACCATTTATATGTAGGTCTAATATTTGAATATTTAAAATACCTTTCCAATATATGTAGGGAAAGAATTCATCTGATGAATTTCCTTTTTTCCAGCTTTTTAAAATTCCCAAATTTGTGAGGATCTGAACTTGGTGACCCCAGTCTCTACAGAATTAAACTGCCGGGGAGCTCATAGTTACTTAATAGAGCTCTTGTTAAAGATAATAATTTGATTAATTAGAACCTTTTCAGCTCACAAACTGCTAGAGATTTCCCTGTATTACAATTTGCCTCGTAGATGTTAATAATAATGACAAACACCTCATTCAAATTATTAGCTCAATCAAAGGTTTAATTAGTATCTGAGATATCTCCTGGAACAAAAAGGAGGACAAGGTTTCAGTAGCCGACTGTAGCCACAAAAACAATCAGAATGTATCACACACTGCTCCTCCTTTAATGTTGCTGTGACATAATACTGAGATGTATATTTAAGTGTCAGCATAGAGAACAATGCTGAAATCACACCCACGTATACCCCAGTGTTGACTCACATCATCCACTTGCTGCTCCAGTTTGGCCTTAGCCTTGGTCAGAGAGTTGACCTTGTCCTCCTCTGCCTGCAGGTCATCCAGGGCCTGCTGGTGAGCCTCCTGAAGAGCCTTCTTCTCCTTGGTCAGCTTGGCGATAATCTCGTCCAGAGCAGCCATCTCCTCGATCAGGTTCTTAACCTGAGGGTGGAAAGGGAGAGATGGAGTCCATCACTCATAATTTTTAAGCTCCCAACATGCTTTGTTCTACTGCTTTTCAAGAAACATATAACATACTTAACATATTAAGAGATGTTTTAATAAAATACTATAGTGGAGAACTAAATGTTTCAAAGTCCCATCTAAATGAAAAAGTCCCATCTTTTTTCTCAAGCATTCCATAAAACTGAACCACAATGGTGTGAGATTTGTTATTTTTAACTGAATTTATCTTCTGGTCTCCTTAACAGCTCACCTTGTTCTCTGTGGCATGCTTCTCCTTCTCCACCTTGGCCAGGGTGATCTCCAGATCGTCAATGTCCTTCTTCAGCTCGGCACACTCATCCTCCAGCTTGCGCTTCTTAGAAGTGATGTCCGCGTTCATCTCCTCCTCGTCCTCCAGGCGCTCTGTCAGCTCTTTGACCTTGGCTTCCAGCTGGATCTTGGCTTTGATCAGGAGGTCGCAGCGGTCTTCAGCATCTGCAAGGTTGTCCTGCTCCTGGAGAGAGACGTTTGGAGGTATTTAGCACAATGAAACCAGACAAAGAGCACATGAAATATGAATCATCTCCAAATGCGCATAACAAACTAACGTAAAAAACACTGATGGTCTATACATACATATGTCATGAATATGAATCTAAATGTAAAAAGGAGGGAGTAATTCATTTCTTTTGCTGTTGTCTTGTAGTGTCTCTCTTTTAAATTGCATTCCTATTAAAAATACTTAAAATCACCTCTTAACAGGAACACTTCAATTTAATGGGGTTGAGGAACGGTGACAAAGTGCAAAGAAAATCAATTTGCTCATCCCCATAAATTTCAAACAGTCCTAAAAAGTCCAGGACCCTATCAGTTCTCTCACTTAGATCACACAATCGTCTAGATTGTTGTTGCTTTTCTTCCAGTTGTTTACTTTTTGTTTTTTTTGTGATGAATTTAAACTAATATAGAAGATATGACTATTAATCTAATACTACTAACGATACAATAATAAAAATACGTTTTGCGGGTGTGGTCATAAGCACTCACAGCCTGGAGCTGCAGAGAGAGGTCGTTCTTCTCCTGGATCAAGCTGACTTGTTTCTCCTCCAGCTCCTTTCTCTTGGCCTCACTCTTCTCCAGGGCCTCCTTCAGCTTCAGGAACTCCTCCTTCAAGTTGGCCATCTCCTTCTCCGTGGCCGCACTCCTCAGCAGAGGCTTAATCTTGAAAAAGAGCTTCATCCAAGGCCAGTGCTTCACCGCGTTGAAGGCACGGATGTTCCACTGGATAACCATCAGGGCATCCCTGGGGGCGAGCAGGAATCGGGGCGCACGGATGTGAGAGAGACACAAACCGGAGCTGCCCCACTGGAAACATGCTTCCTCGCCGTACACTCAGAAGACACCAACTTGAAAGGAGTTAACAATGATCATTCTGTTATTTTGTATCTGTTGGTCAGTTTCTGCCCTCATTGACTTGCAATTTAAGGAAGCCTGCTAGAATCTGAAAACAGATTTCACGGCCCAAGTGTTCCATAACCCCAGTAGTTATCTGTCAAATACAAACTCAAGTGATGAGACATTGAAGGCTGCTTTTGATATTTAAAAATAAGAGAGTGAAAGATGTATTAATCCCCTATGACCCTGGCAGATATTCGGTCTATGCAGTTATTAAAATGTCTTGCACAACTAGGCCTAAGGGATCGAGAAATTATTTTTAAGAGAGGCTGAACAGCTCTTACACTTAATGGTCTTTGAAAATGTCTTCCTTCCTAATTCAAAAAGCAGGTTTTGCATTGTTTACAATCCATACACACATGCACATTAATGTGATTTCAGAATTATTCTCCCAATAAGAAAAGCACTTTTTTTTCCTTTGCTGGTTACCTTCACAATCTCTGTGTTAAGTGTTAGATTATTATTAGGCTATGTTTCGCCATGTTGCTGTCATTTATTTGTGGTAAAGTCTGGGAATAGGAACGGACACATTTTATGGTGTCTGCTCACTCCAGCCCTTATATTACATTAAAAAAAACTTAATTTAATGTCTTCAGCAGGAATGAAACAGTCACTTATCAGAGAGCATCTGCCATTGCAGCAAAACTATACACACTGAGATAAAATGCGAAGAGGAACAAGATGACCTCCATTGCCATGCCGAACATTTGAGCAGAACAATGACGTGCATTAATCATATGCAGTAACTCTGGAAGAATAAATTCATTAGAACCTGTTAGTTGGTTTAACTGATCACACCAGACCAAAAGAAGGGTTACCTTCTCTCGATCATCTTCTGGTACTCCAGCCGCATGATCCTTCCCCGGCCCCTGGCCTGGATCATGGTGAGGATCTTAGCTAGGCGCTCGTCTCTCATCTCCTCCAGCTGCCCCAGCAGGCCTGCCTTGAAGAAGACCTGCAGAGACCAAGCGGTCAGGCTGTCCGTAAAGAACAGGGCTGCACTCGTGTTTGTAGAGCTTCTGAGCTCCCAAAACTAGATTTACCAACCAACGCAAGTTCTACTCCATTTCTATAGGGTTTTCTGTGGATGGTATTTAATGCCAGTCCTACGTCATCTTTCTAAAGAGACCTTCCAGCTTTTGGGAGTTATAATGGCTTTTGCAGTATTGTACTCACCTTGGTGTGTCCAAACTTGTACTGGTTGTGGTCGATGTCCAGGGAGCTCAGCAGTTTCTCTGCAGCCTTCCTGCTGTCCACAAACTTATCATCGGGGATGGCACTGGGGTTCAGGATACGATAGCTACACGACGGGGGAGAATGAGAAAGACAAGTTCAAGATTCCAACTAAATGTCACCACCAAGGTTTTTAATCCTTGTAATTGCAAACATTGTGTGAGTAGTCCCCATTGCACACACACTTTGACCTCTCAGTAAAGATGTCATATAATTTACTTCTTTTTTTAACAAGGATTTAAAATTATTAAAAAACAGAGGCCGGGGGGGGAGATACTGAAACTGATAGGATCTGAGATTCCATAAATTAAGAAAATGAAGAAGCACCCCAGCCATTATATTGCATTAAAAAAAAACTTAATTTAATGTCTTCAGCAGGAATGAAACAGTCACTTATCAAAGAGCATCTGCCACTGCAGCAAAACCATACACACTGAGATAAAACTTTGAAGGCATTCTGTTCATAAAATAATAAACCCATTATCACTTCAAAAAGTATCTTAATATATTTAACTTTAAAAAGGCAGGCATTTTACCACCAACTCATGAAAAGGGTATTTTAAAATAACATGAATATAATAGTGTACAGTATTAATCTTTTCAAATTGTGTAAATGTCCACAGGTGTCCTCGCTCACCGCTGCTTGAAGTCAGCATACAGCACCCTGTTGGGAAAACCCTTCCTGCAGATCCGGATGCCCTCCAGCACGCCGTTGCAGCGCAGCTGGTGCAGCACCAGAAACGGGTCCATAATGCCTGCGGAGGGAGGAAGATTAACAGATGCCCGTTTTTCAATTGCATCCATCCATTTTCAAACCACTTTAGCCAAGACAGGATCGCGGGGGAGGCCGGAGCCTATCCCAGCAAGCAACGGGCCAAGGTGGGACCCCGGACGAGACGCTAGTCCATCGCGGGGCAGACACAGACACAGCACACTCACACCAGAGCCGATTTAACTGGCAGTATGTCCGCGGACTGTGGGAGGAAAACCCCATGTGAACGTAGGAGAACATCCAAACTCCACACAGCCAGAACCCCAGGAGCTGAACCCAGGGCCTCAGCCGTGCTAACCACTGCGCCACTATGCCGCCCCTTCTGCTTACATGCAACCATATTTCTCATAAAAATAATCTGCGATTATTTAAGAGGCTCGGCACTTCACTGTCAGCGACGTGCTCAGCCTTAGCATTTGACAAAAGCAAGGGTGTGTCAAGAATAAACGGGACATGCTTTCCAAAACTCTCCAAGGTTGATTCAGAAATCATCAATTCACAAAATTGTGTGAAGTGAGATTTTAACACAAGACTGGGAGGAGCGACAGCCACCTCATTCCCCTACATCTCTAACTTGTAATCTTCCATGGCATCACCTCCTGAAATGCTACAAGTTATTTAGTTCCTCTCTTCTTCAGATTGTTTTTTCTTTGCACTCTTTCTTCACCGCATCTCTGCCCTTGCAGCAGCCCCTGGGGAATTCCTCACTCGCGTCCTGTCCTACAGATAGGTAGCTGACCCTCAAACCAATAGGTTAAGCCAAAGGTTTCATGCCTGTTTTCAATAAACAATCCAAACATATTTTCTGATTGGACTGCATCATTCCTCCTGAATTCTGACTAATGTGTTCCTACAAACATCCCAGTATTACAATGCTATGTGTGCTAAAATAGGTTATAGCTCCTTTAAATCTCTTTTAGAGCCTGTCTGAATTAACCTTGGTTATGTGAGAGTTGTTCTCTCAGTTGTACAGAATGACCAAGATGTACCTGGAGTTTTCGTCTCATTAGGTATGATACACCGCACAAAGTGAGGCTGAGTTGCACGCAGGTTTGTCATCAGCTTATTCAGATTTTCCTAACAAACAAAGACATAAATAGATGAATAAATAATATAAAAAATGACAACAGAGGTATGTAGAAGTGTAAATTCCCAATTTTCAGCACTTCCCGGCACTTTTGTGGGCATGTATTTACACGAATGCCAATTTACTGCCTCAGGTTTGGCTTTTGAGAATAACAGTTTCCTTCAATTTTCACACTTTTTATCAGTTTATTTTAAGCAGCAGAATGCAGGCCAAGTCAACAAGATGACACAGGGGTAGCAACGTTGTTTTATTATCTAATTGATCTTGTCCTGCTCATACATATTATTTTAAAAAGACAAGCACACAAAAACACTTCAGTGTTTTCCATGGAGTCCTTACATTTTCCACCAAGTCATGGCTGGATAGGCTTTGAACTGGCAGTAAGAAAGGGTGCTATTATACAGGTCAGGAATATAAATAAGCACGAACCTAAATGGATCAATACCCCTTCTGTGGGGTTATGCAAGGCACAAAGTTAGAAAACAGCTAATCCCTGTTTCATCATTTTCAAAGAACAATTGTTATCGTGTGTCCAGCCAGCTGTTATCATGTTAAAAGCCAGCTGGGTTACTTACCCTGGCCTTGACCTCAGCAGACGCTACTGAGTGCAGAGTTAGCACAGACTTAAAGTGATGTTCATGTGTTAATGCCTCTAAACATCACTGCAAGTCTTAACTACCTCTTTCTCATAAGGGAAGCATTGCACTGCTCCCAAGTGCTGGGTAAGACTCCAGAGGAGGAACAATGATCGCTACACCGCCTTCCCTGTGCACTACTGTCTTAAGTTTGGTGTTGAAGCAGATCCATTCTATTTACTCCATTTTCAATTAAACTCTTTGTTTTAAAATGACCAGCTACCAAACAAAACACAAATAATGCAAAAAGTACAAAGAGTTTGGGTGATAAAAGAAAAGTTTGTTAGGGTGGCAGTTCGGGACAAGACAAGCAAAGAGCATCACCTTATGCAGCTGAGACACGGTCTGGAAGGAAGCAGCCTTCTTGCGCTTCTCTTTGGCTCCTGTTTTGGGATGTTCAGCAGCTACAAGATAAGGTATCAGCTTTTAAACAAATGTCTTGAAATAATTTTCTGTTTTAAATCAAGGCGTATCTGCATTGACACAGTTGTCACAAAGTCTCAACTAAAAGACTTGACCATGGCCAGTCCATTTTTAGTTGGGAACCCCACTGACTGCGAATGAAACACTCCCTGAACGTTCAAGCACACATTAACTGAGGAAAATGCCTTGAAATGCCTCTTTTCCAGTACCTGCTTCAGCACTGACATAGTTTTCATACAAGCTGGCCAGGAGCTTATTAGCTGATTTCTGGAAGCAGGTCACCACTGTCTCATTCAGTGGGTCCTTATTCTTATCCAGCCAACCAAAGATATTGTAGGGTACCTAACAAAAATCAAAAGAAGAAATGAAAATAATTTTCTGATCAATTGCAGTGCCCTTACGAATAAATAAGTAGATAAACAAGTGAGAAAAAAGCATACCTTGCACTGAGTGTAAATTCTCAATAGCATGCTATGAGTATCCTTCTATACTAGAAGTGTCCAATCCTTGTCCTAGAGAGCCATTTTGTCTGCTGTTTTTTATTCCAGCTCAGCTCTTAACAAGCTACATCATTTTGTTTTGTGTCATTTGATCAGCTTCTCCCAGCTCTGCAGGTACTTTAAAGAAACTGAGAGAACCTGCAGACACACTTGCTTCCTCAGATCTAGAGCTGGACAGCCCAGTTGTACTTAAACAGGATCATTATAGATAGGTGAAAGATCACAATGTAAACTTATTGTCAAGACGTATAAAAACAAAGTAGAAATACTTTGGAACCAGAGCTAAACAGCTAAAAAGAGGTTAGGAACAAAAAAACACGAGACAGGATTCAGACTGCAGGACAGGGCTTCTACAAATAATATAATTTTATATAGATTTTTAGGTATCCTACATGACAGGAGCTGTCACTGCTGTGTCATGACTCATGACTTACCACCCCAGCATAGTGGACTAGCTCAAAATGAGCTTCGTATTTGCGCTTCTTGTCAGGCCTGGGTTTCTGGAAGTTAGCCGATTTCCCAAGGTGGTTGTCGTAGAGCTTGGCCTTGAAACTAGAGTCTGTGGCCTTGGGGAACATGCACTCTTCCTCCAGGATTGACAGAATTCCCATTGGCTAAGGAACGGGAAAATTTAGAAAGTGGTCACTTTGTATGGCATGCCAGCAATTTCAAATTCAGTTACAAAAAAGCTGTTCCAAAGTAACTGTTGACAGATTCCTTAAAAGGCAGATGACGTTTCATTTTGACATGATCTTCCACAATTCTTGAAATGCTGTCACAAACTGCACGCAGACACTGTCGCATTCCCACAAGCACCCGATCACTCACTAATTAACTTCATTCACCTTGTCTGTTTAAGCTTCCACTCTGCAACCTGTCCTCGCTCACTATTGAGGTTTTCTCGGCCAGAGTTACGCATCCAGTTAGTGACTTAGTCCAGCCTCTTGTTGTTCTTGTGACTCTCTGGATTTCTGACCCTTTGCTTCAGCTCTCCAACCTCACTCTAGCCTGACAATTTGGATTACGTTCGCCTTAGGAATTCAGTTGTTTTCACTCTCTCTGACCCTGCACAGGATCTATTCCCCTACCTTTTCCCTCGGCATATGTGACAAATGCACCATTTCAAGGAGAGAATTCATTCTGCATTTCAGTCTCTCTAGTGATGTACTGTAAGTTCTCCGTAGTACCCATTTAACACATTTACTCCCACCACCTATCCCTTATTGGATTTAAGGAAAGTTTTAATCCCCTTTTACTGCTCCAGTGAAACTGGTTTTGTGTGTGCTCCTCCTACCTTCTCAATGAGGTCTATGCAGGCCTGCAAGTCCAGGCCAAAGTCGATGAACACCCAATCGATTCCCTCTCTCTTGTACTCTTCCTGTTCCAGGATGAACATGTGGTGGTTGAAAAACTGTTGCAGTTTCTCATTGGTGAAGTTGATGCAGAGCTGCTCAAAGCTGTTGTACTGCAAGGAATTGAACGGCAGAGGAAAAGGTGAGCATATGTTTTTTTTAATCCATGATGTTAAATCTATATTTTACAAAACACCCTTAACGATCAACGTCACAAAGTGCAGAGCAAGAACCCTGAATGAAAAAGAACAAGAAAGGAATAAAATGATAAAATTGAACATAAGCTTAGGTCTTAAAAAAACATCAGGTCCTTGCCTTCAAAGTCTTGTTGACTCTGTTATCTGCTGTGGGGCAGGGGAGGGAGAGGCGCTGGGGAGATGATGGATGGGTTACTGCTGTTGTGAAAGTTTTGGATTGTGGGGAGAGGAGGGTAAAAATGGGTTTGTTATTTATAGTTAGACGGAATTATTTTATCATTTACACGTCTCAAAAACAGATGACAAAAAAATAAAAGACAAGGCCATTGAAGGATTACAAGGATAGGAGTAAGGTTTTAAAATCAATTTGAAACTCTACCAGAAGCCAAGGTAAGGATTACAACAGAGGAGTAATGTCATAATAGACTGAGACATTGTCGAGACCCTGTCAAAGCATGAAAACCAGATTGGTTTTAGAATAAATTCCTGACTTTCTTTATATGGAAAAAAAGAGATCTGGGGAACTCACTTCAAAGATCTCGAAGCCTGCAATGTCCAGTACTCCTATGAAGAACTGCCTGGGCAGGGAGGTGTACAAGGTTTTGTTGATGCGGTTGACCAGCCATTTAAACATGCGGTCATAAGTGGCTTTGGCCAGGGCACCCACTGCGTAGTTCACCTAAAAACAACACAACATAACATGTTATCCGTCACACAGTGGACAGAGCACATAACTCCCTTGGCCTAAATATTCAAATCTGGTTAGTAATAGGTAACAAGATACAATGCAGGCAATGATAGATCCTAGTTTTATAAGGCAATATGTGTAAATTTGACAAATAAATGATTGTCTATAGCTATCTTAAAGCTCTTTTAGAGCAGGTCATGTCCAATCTTTTTTTATTCAAGTACAGAATCACAAAGATGTACCTGGTGTTTTCATTTTATTACAGTGCACAAACACAGGTTTGTCATCAGCTCATTCAGATTTTCCTAGGAAAGAGAAATGGCACAAAGGCTGTCTGGTGTGGTGACTGTACCTGTTCGACATTCTGCCCCTTGATGACACACTCGTTGCCCACCTTGACTCGGGGGTGCAGGAGGCCCTTGATGAGGTCAGCTGAGCTGACTCCCATCAGATAGGCAGCCTTGTCGGCACCTGGGCGGAAGACACAGGTGTTACTGCTGGAACTGTGCTGGATAAGACGTGTGGTCTGGGACCTCCTTTGCTTTAGCAATAGGTACTGAAATATGAAAGAGCCCTGTGTTCTGGTCAAATTTAAATTTCTCGATCGTTTCCAACGTAACAGATCATATTTTTCTTTCAACAGTTCCCCGTTCTCTCTGTCAGCTTGTCGAAAACGTCCGAGTCCAAAGGGGAAAAAAACTCGACTCACTTTCAGTGCCATCAGCCTCTGCCTGCTCCTCACGCTGCTTCTGCTTGAACTTCATGTTCCCAAAGTGCATGATGGCGCCCACTATTTTATAGCAGCCATACTTCTCATCAGCACTGAAGCCCAGGATATCCATGGCTTTCTGAACAACAGGACCACAGGGAAAGAGAGATGCCAGAAAAACCTTTTTATCATACAGTGATGATCTTCTTACATTAAGAAAAATCATTTAAGAGACATAAAAAGACAACTTATCAGATCGCCCTAGTTGAAAAATGGAAGGAAAAGAACAGTTTCTTTCAGCTGAACTGAATGCAGTACAAACATCATCTTACATCGGTCGCCATGAGCTCGTCTCCGTCATCCAGATTATCCACAGTGGTCACTCCTTGAGAGCAGAAGTGGTAGTCATAGGGGTTTGAGGAGACCAGCAACATATCTGAGGATAAAAACGACTGTTGGTCAACTTTCTGTGTCTAGGTCTAGGTGGAACATTCTGTACTTCATATACCTTTTTTTACTCCTAGTTGTACCCAGCGTTGTTCTAAATGAATGATATCTGTTTGCTGCCTGATCTGTTTCTATCCAGTAGTGTGACAGCTGCCTTGTTTGACTGGCAATGGGTACAAGGACTGAATCTGGAATCTAATCACTCACTGCTTCACTACAGAAAGGCACAATTTCCCCTTTAACTTGATAAAGGTAACATAGTCTAAATGTCATCCATCCATTTTCTAACCACTATCTTTCAACAAATGATCACGTGGGAACCAGTCATTTTTCACAAATATATAAAAGATATTTTAGGCAGAAAACTTGACATGCTAATATCATAAATGAAAAATATTCATTAGGTAGTGACTACAAAGACTTTACATGACATTACGCCAGCGTCAGAGCAGTCATAAACTCCGTACCCAGAAGCTCCGGTTTCCTCTGAGACACAATCTGATAGTAGATGTGATAACTCCTTTCTCCTGGCTGCTGGAAGATCACTCTGGATTTTTCCAGAAGATCTGAAAAACAATGTAATTGATATTTTGGTTAATTTTAATTAATTAAAAATGACATCATATTTAAGAACTGGAAATCAAAGGCAAGCCTGAAGTGTTCTAATTCTATAGATTCTTGTGGGGTGTACAGACACGAAACACAAGGGTGTGTGAAAGTTTCAAGAAGTACTGTATCTCTTTCAACTTTGTTTTAGAAGTAGCAACAGCCATGTTTGTGGGAAAATGAATAAGCACTACTGTCAAACAACTGTGACTCTAAACATTTCACTTAGACACAAACTTCTAGAGAGTTATTTTCCTCTGACAACAACACTGTAAAAGTGATGGTTAGACATGAAAGCTGTGAGCCATCCTGGAAAACCAACATTTTTTGGTGTAGTATTACTGTCAAGTACCATAAAACAATAATTGCTTACAGATGTCAATATCAGCAGAAGCCAGTTTCCCTGTGGGCCCAAAGTGGATTCTGATGAACTTGCCCTGGGTAAAAAAAGAAAGACAAATCACTTGTTTTTCAAGCCAGTGGTGTAAATCTAAATATTGTTACAACCTCTCTAGGGTCTGCCGAAATTCGGTTCCATTTTTTACCAAAAATAAGAATCTTGAATGTTTAACAACCAATTTAACAGCCTGAGATAATACTTTGAAATACAAGTGTACTTTTTACGAAAGAACAATTGAAGTTGTTAAGTATTTTAAGTATATCAAGTATGGAAACTTCTGTTGAGAAGAGTTTTTGGATTTATTTTTGATTCCAAAAACATTTTAGATAGGAAGAGAACACGTTACAATAACTACAAAATCAAATCAAATCACTGGACCTTTAATATGACGCTGGCTGCTGTTGAACCCAGGCTGCCAAATACTCACAAAACGAGAGGAGTTGTCATTCCTCAGGGTCTTGGCATTACCAAAGGCCTCCATGGCAGGGTTAGCCTCTATAATCTGGTCTTCTAGGGTGCCCTGGCAAAGCATAACATGGAAAGAAGTTGCCTACTACTGTCAGTAATGTGACTGAATTAGTGTTGAAACTTGTGACGTTTGTACTTGAGCCAAACATGTCATTGTATGCTGGGTTTCATCCTGGTTGCACAGCATGAAGCATTCTGTTAGTGCCAGACTCTGAGCTGGGGGTGGACATCTGTGTATTGTAACATCATACTCAGCAATGGTGATACCCATACAAACAGCAGAGCACACTGAAGTACTCAAGGGAGAAATACCTGGCCCAAGGGTAAAAAACAGTGAAGTCCATTAAGGAGACTCAACCCCACCCTAAGAACTGGTGTGTGTTTCCCCTCTAAATGAGACAATGTTATAAATGATTGTAAGGAAACATCTAAAACTCTGTTGTACATTGCTTGTTTCTAATGACTCGAAATCTTATTGGTTGTTTTAATTACAAATACACAACTGCGTTTGGATTCTTTACACTAGATGCCACATGCTAGATACTAGATATCAAATTGGTTAGATAAACTGCTAGTGACGACTGCAAACACAGGGGGGAGACAAAGAACACTTGACTTAAACTTGACTGTAAACTTGACTGTTTACAAAGAGTGTAATGTAACTTGTACTCACCCCTGTTTTGGTGGCAGGCCCCTGTATAAAAAAAAAAACATATTAATAGCAAATACAAAATATAAAAAATAAGACTAAATACCACAAACTAAGACTTATAGCAACAGATTTAAGGCTGCTTTTGACTAAAAAACATCAGGCGTTAATCATTTTTTCACAGCAATTATAAAGAAATAAATTACTGTTAGCTACTAATCATTTTCTTATTAATGTTTTAAGGTATTAAACATGCACATGTATGTACTATTAATTGATGTAGTATGAACTGCTGATTAAGAGTGCTGAAAAGCAATATAGTACTTTATCTAAACTTGGCAAAATGTCTTATACCACAGATGTGTAAGCCTTTGCACTCCTTTATTATTTGTGGTTATTTGTTTTTCAATGTGTTTTGGTGGAAATTTTAAAAGGATCTTCATGCAAATAAAATTGTTACAATTTAAAATTAAACTATTAGCCTAGTATAACCTGAGGCTATGTTTTCATAGCCAAATTTTCAAGAATTGCAGTGTATAAACAGGACTGTTCTTGCCTGAATCATGTGTGACTGCTTTTGTTGTGAAGCTTAATGGCTACAATGTATTTTTAAATTACAGCAGTAAGATGTTGCTCTGAATTCTAAGGACAAGTGTGCAGTGAGTAGAAAACTGTTTTTTTTTCCAAGATGAAAAATTAAATCAAAATATGGGATTGTAGCAAAAAAGCAGGGAGTAAGTGGCCTCAGCGGGTTAATAACAAGAAAAGGTTTCCCAAAACCACTTAAAAATAGCAAAAATATATATAAAAGGGGAAAAAATTATTTGGGGAGGAAAATGGTGTAAAAAAGGTGCAGAAAAGCACTGTGGGAAAGAGGGCAGCACATTGTAAGCAGGGCTTAAAATGATTGGAAATACTAGCGTTCTTTACGTCATTAAAAAATGTCTGTTATACAACCTCCAGCAAGTTGTTCAGGTATTTTAGAACCGTATGAGATTATATAAAATTAAAACCTCCTTCTCAAAAAATTAGTGTAGAAACTTTCAAGCCCTACTTCATTAAAAGAAAAAAAAAATCAAAAAGGAAAAGGGAAAAATGGCAAAGTTCTAAAGCTTTGGCCTTACTCCTTTTTTGCTGGATGCATCGCCCAAGGCTGCTACAATGGCAAAATACTGAATTACACGTTTCGTGTTGACAGTTTTGCCAGCACCGGATTCTCCGCTAGGAGTGGTAGACAAAAAATACATATACATATATGTATGCAAGAAGTCAAGCAAAAATACACATGAAAAAATACACCACTAGCCACACCCAGCATTCTCACACCAATCTCGCAAACTCAAAAAAAACAAAACAAAAAGTCATTACACTTTCAAAAGGCAGCAAAAAAATAGAAACTGCACTCGGTTCCAAAAAACAGCTCCCCACATTTTAGAATAAGAATAATTAGCAAAAATATGCATCAAAATAAATATGTGCAAAAAAGGACTCTGATGACATATAGTCCAAGCAAATTCAGGTGTCTGAATGTTTTGAGGCGTTATTGTTATATAACACATTCCCAGCTTTGTGAAATTCTGCCTAAAGTTCTAATCAACTGAGTGAATACTAGCTAGAATGTTTAAATGTTTAAGAGGTGTAATTTTACATACGTGATGAGCATGGACTGGTTCTCACGATCTGTGGAGAAACACCAGGGGAGGATTATAAAGTGACACAGTGCTCAGGATGATTGCCAACAAACAGAAAAGGCAGTTTCCTTAAAATTCTCGTCACAGTGGAATGCCTTTGCAGGGAGAAACACCTGCAGCACCTGCTTTTGAAATAGTTGCAACAGATTCAATTTTTTCCACACCTTATTTTAACAGCTGCCTTCTGGGGTTCAGTTCAGACATCCGATTCAATGACATGGAACCACTCACAGCACAAATTACTGGAGTGAAATGTGAAAGGGTAAAATACTAGCCACCCACACTTCACGTTTTCTTCAGGTGAAGGATTCACCGACACCTGAGGGAACCAGAAGGAAGTGAAGACTTACTGCGCAACATGTCGTTGTAGGCATTATCGGCAATGGAGTAGATGTGTGGGGGCGACTCTGAGCGACGCTTGCCCTTGTAGGCAGCGACGACGGGGGCGGTGTAGACAGGCAGCCACTTATAGGGGTTCACCGTCACACAGAACAGCCCAGAATACGTCTGCCAGGAAGGAGAAACCACAGTAGCACCATGTAGTCTGGAGAGCAGCCTGGTGACAATGCTGGGGCTATCAGAGAAATATCCCTCTGACCTTTCCAAAATGAAAATGCTAACCTTTCTTAAGGTGGGGAGGATGGAATTACTGTAGATCAGCGAGATGGCAGAGATGGCTCTGGGATTCAAGAAGCTTACTTTCAGCTACATTTTTGCAGTTACATTGTAAAAGCTTAAAAGCTTAGGATTGCACAAATATTAACATGCCTCAGGTATATTTTTTGGGGAAAAAAAGAATTTGCACATAAACAAATAGCTCTACTGTGACAGACGTTATAAGAAATGGAAAGACAGGAATTCAATGTCATTGAAATTCAGGAAAGTGAACTATACTACTCATTATCACTTCACTATTGTTTTAAAATGACATTCAAAGACATAAGTTATCACCATTGTAGCCCGAACAAACTTTTAGGGTTTACTGTATTTTAGTTTCCAGCATGAGTGCTGAAGCAAGACAGCTGCGTGACGCTGCTGTGTGCGTATAGTCATACAGTATTTGCACAACACAGGCTAGTCCACAATCGGCTCTTTAGCTGATTGTTGCAAAATACGGAGGGACCTGTGTAAAGGAGAAGAGGGAACGCACATAGATCATCCAGTTGCTGTACCGACGCTTCAGGTTGTACAGAACAGAAGCTTCGTTCAGGTGGGTGAGCATGGCCATGTCTTCGATCATGTCGAACTTGGGAGGATTCATCTGTTGGATGTCATCCTCCTTCACAGTTATGGTCTAAGGAAGAAAATGGTGATTTATTCAAGTTGAACCAACATCCACACTCTCTTTTAAAGCACTGGGAGAATACGATAATAAGATTACTGTAATAGCTCTTTTTACTGCATTGTGTCTGAAGCTCTGTAGAGCCCACTTATACAGTTTTTGTACTTTTATTAACTCAGAAACCCTGAGAATCTTATTAGGGTGAATTCCCATGTGAAGAATTAAGAAAAACGCTCCTATTACTTTAACGCTTTTGAGGGAGAAGCAGATATTATTTTGTGTTAAATAATATGTGCAAACTAATTCAAATATGCACCATATACTACTGTTGCCTTGAACTCTGCTTTGGTAAGCTGAATAAAACTGCATATAAAGAAGACATGCAGTACCCCCACCTTATTATTTCAAATACCTCACCTACGACTCTTTCTCCCACCCACAGTACAAAGTCAAACAATCATAGTTGCACTGAAAACAAACGGTCACCACCATGTCCAACCTGATCTCACATCAGCAAGGCTGGTCAGTACCTTCCATGGGGACCTCTATGCAATAACAGGTTGCTGCTGTGACCTGGGGGACAACACTTTTCTGTGGGAAGCGCTATTCTTCAGATGAGACATTAAACTGAGCTCCCGACTACTTGGGCATTATAGTCCCCATGACACTATTTGTGAGTAAAGGTGCTAAACCCAGCTAAACCCTGGCTTCCTTCCACTTTAGGCTTGCACATCTACGTTTCCACCTTTATTCAATTGGTACAGCACATTTTTTACTGAGCCACATCTGCTGCCTGTCACCCAGGGCTGCAGTTCAGTGCTGAAGGAGGTGGGTCCCCTCCTATACATGAAGCATTCTGGGATCCTTTGAATGAATGGCACAATGTGAGCCAAGCAATTAATATGTTTAAAGTACTGGAACAAGGCAACGATCTAGATGTGTTTACCCTGCCATCCTTGGTTTCCACAATGGCTTTTCCGCCGGCCAGCTCCTTTATCTCCACTTCAGTATAGGCTTCCTTATCATCGGGTACCCAGGCTTTCTTCTTACCTGCATCGAAGGGACCCAGGGCTGTCTTGAGAAACGCTGACTGACATGTCACCTAAATCAAACACTCGCTCTTTTCTGTTCCCAGCATACGCATACGCAACGCAACGCAGAGGTAATGAGACGCGATTCTTAAAGATTATCACAATTAGGATGTTTTGACACTGAATCAAAAATGCAAGGTCAGTAATAACTTGTGAACTGGTTGCAAAAAAAAACCTTCCTAGTAGCATTTCATTATTCATGTATTGAATACATATTTTCCCACATTATGCGTAATTACACAATTTAATTGCCTTAGGTTATTCAGAAGCTAGCAAGTGAAAAAGAAAATTGTAGCATATGCTCATCTAGGCCTTTTTGTTGTAGGGTTTTATGTTTCGGGGTAATATAAAGATGTTTCCGTCTAGTAATTACGAAATTCCATTAATTTACAATGACAAAAAACTTTTGTTTTTTAATTTTATCATCTTGGGATTTTGTTTTTGTACCAATTGATTCTGCGTGGTGGAAAACTCTTGGTCTGTTCGCCCCGAACTATAGACCTATGATTTTCGTTCTACAGATCTGCAGAACGGAATAACAACTAAGAAGCGGTGGCCAAAACTGAGAAAAACGCAGATAAAGTCATTGCAAACGATCACATTAGTACCGTCGAAAGGTATAGTCTGCAAGACAAGCAGCTCCTTGTCGCTCTTCCGAAGGAATGAAGCGGCTTCCCCAAACTCGGACATATCCAATAGAGACATGGTGAAGGTCCGGCAGGGCGCTCGGCACAGCGGACGCGACTTCTTGAACTGCGGGAGAAGAAAAAAACTTCACATTAGAGAGGTTTGCAATTGAAATTCGCCAAGCACAACTCAAGTTTGAACACGGGCAAAATACTTTCCGCCCAAATCAAATAAATTGATTTATTTTACTAAGAGCAGATTAGAGACCTCTTTTAAAAAAAAAACATTCCTAAAATTTCGAAATCGAAGCATATTACTTCAGTTAGCATTACATATATAGATTTTAAATAAGCTTCCATCCTATATACATTTGCATGCAAAAAGAAACCAAAATATACCAACGTGAGATCTTAAAAACATATATAGTGTGTAAAACATGTAATTATCCTGTGAATCAATATATTGTTAAATGTTATCAATTTAAATCACACAAGGGGAAAAACACGGCTACAACACATAACAGTTAGTACAATACAGCCAACATGCAGGTAGGTAGACTGTACCAACCTCAGAGCACACAGGTCAGATTGGGTCGGTGAAACGAAGTCCGTCTTTTTATTGTCTTTCTCAAGGTCAGGGTTAAGGGAGATATGTCAAAAATTCCCATGTGTCACCTCCTCCTCCGCCCATTGGTGCTGTCCGTGTGCCCGCATTGACACAAAAGGCAAGCAGCATTTTTATCTCGAAGCAAACCTAAGCCGGTTATTTTTGTAACGGTATTATGTTATAACTGGGATTACAGCAATCAAAAGGACACTGTCTTTCTTTATAGTAGGGTATTGTTATCAATAAACACGTACAGAGTGGTACGTTAATAAAAACAAACGCGGCATATACTGTATTTCTGTGTAAACTACAATTTATCGAACAGGACCACAACTTTTCCAAGTTGTGAAACTAAAACAGCTGCAAGGATGAATATATATTGATGACTCAAAGCGGAATAAATCAAACGCTTGTTTAGAATGTTATATTTAATCAGACTAAATTCTGTTACAATTAATATGCAGTACACACACAGTGCCTATCTAGTGCGCAGATAAATCCTTCAAACCTGAACATGAAAATGACAGTTTAGAAACCGCATAATCTCCTAACCAATTAAGGAGTAAAATATAGTAATCTTACCTTAAATACAAGAATATTAATCTCTCTCTAAATCCTGCAGATAAGATGAGCCACCTTGCCGAGACATTAGTTATACAAAGAAATTAAAGAAACACCATATTTTTACATTCAAATCCAAGTGATTTCGTCTCTTATTCCTCCATTGAGTCATGAAGGGGGTTCACTCAATCATACTGTGCGACTTAATGAAAGCGTCGTTTAGAAGTGGTTTTAAGGGCCCCGTGACATTAAGTAGATGCACTAAAAATATAAAGTGATATTAATAGAAGCGAAGCATAAAACGATTCATTAAATTCACAGAATAGATAAGTCCAACGCGAGGTGGAGGACTCTAATGCTGTGCATCTAATTCTTGTGCAGAATCTCACAGGCTGTCTGTGAATGTGTTCTGTAAAGCACGCCTGGTGTTTGAGGAGAGTCTTTGGCATGTTTAACCTTAGGAATGGGGTACAGGGAAGCAGGGTACTTACTGCCTGATTGTACTATTGCATTACCCTTGAATGAAAATGGAATGAGCAGCACGTAGGGGTGTCTGTTTTGTATTCCAGATAAGCTCCTGCCCATCGGCACTAAGGAAACTTGCTAATCTACTTACTAAACTATCAAGAAGTGATTTCTGTGACGGGTTATCTGGATGAAAACATGCCTGCTTTTGACAGAAAAAAAAAAAGATTTTCATTGACAGAGCTTGGACTGGTTGAACACAGTGGAGAAATTTAAAAATCCCTGCTGAATTTGTTGAACATGCTCTGTAGTGGTTAGTGGATACGATTTTGAATGACACATGTATTTACTTTGGTAACATGAAAAATAGACTACTTGGGTTGCAAAGTGAGGCTGATCAAGTCTTTTTTAAACAAATCTTAATTGTAAAACAAGAAAAAACAACACGTGCAATACTGATACCACTCCTTTTTGCAGCTACCTTTTTGCTCATTTCAGCATAAATGTGGCTGGTCATGTCATTTGGGATGTACATGCATTTCACTGCTTTTTTTTTCTTGCTGTTTTTCCTTTTGCTTTTTAAATTTGGAACTCAGTGCGTCCTGACCTTGAGAACAAAAGAGGAGATAAACGTCCTTGTGTGCAGACTGTAGCGTCCCGAAATAGACAAGAATACAGCTCCAGTGCTAATAGCCAAAATTCCTGCCTGAGACAGGCCAACTGCTGGAAAGAGCTCCATTGTTAAAGAGGTAGTGCACTCAGCTAGGGTAGCAGCAGGACAATCAGTGCAGTAAGACGGGGAACATCCCACAGAGATGTCTACCCCAACAAACCTGGGCAACGTCTATTTCGAAACTCATGGCTCTTCTGTCTCCCCAGGCAAATAGTGCAGATTTTATTAATCCATACTCTCCTTGCTATCATGATGTCAAATAGATAAAATAAGGTTAATTGGGTCACGCTCAGATTTTTTCTTCCAAAAAGTTTGCAAATGAACTCACAACCCTCATAGGTTACGTTGCAATGTACAAAGAATGCACAAAGGTATCTATATAACAACAAAACAATAAAGAGTATGAAAATAATACAAAGGTATTGTAAGTTAAATACATGAAAAAATGCATGACGAAATTATACATGCAAAATAAGAAAATAGTTTGTGAACTCAATGGACATATTTTGCTTGTTTGCTTGCTAGTAGGAAAATTGATCTAAGTGTCTCATCAAGTCACAGTTGTTTCTGAAGTTCATTGGGTTAATGTTGTTACTGCTTTTCAGAATTTAGAAAAATAGAAACAGGTCTCTTCATAGTCAATTTTATTTGAGAGTAGGAAGATTTAGTAGTTCTGATCTGTCAATATATGACATTCCTTTGAGCCCGAGAATGTCACTCTTCACTGCCAGCTTTCCAAAGCAGAAACATCTTTCTGAATTCCACATTTTAACTATATATCCTAACATTCAGTTTGCCTTTTTTATGGGCTTCTTCACATTGTATGGACCAAGTATTGAAGGTATGTTAATATAAATGAAGTATTTTCCATGAGTAGGTCCTTCAAGTTCAGCTCTTGGTTTCTAAAGTTGCATAAAAATCTAAGCCTGGATTTCTTTGTACAGCAAGCATTTATTAATGTTGTAGATGAAGTGTAGTGGATACGTTTAGGGTCTCAAGAGCTCTGTTTGTCTTTAGTTGTGCAAGTAGTCTTTTGCAGGGATTGGCCATTTCAGGCTTGCCTTACTCAAGTGGCCAGCTCTGGGCTCCTGATAACTGCAGGAGAGTATGTCAAAGGAAAAAGAATGCAAACTGCAGCTGTTAACAAATTCTGTCAAAAGAGAATATGTGGAAACCTTTCTGAACCTTTATTTCATTGTCTAAACAATATTTGAAGAAATTGAAACTTAGCGTTTTACTTGCATTCTGAATCAGGCAGCTTGAGCTAGAAGGAAAACAGGTCCCTGGTGTCTGCAGACAGTCCTATCTCCTGCCATGAAGTGTTACAATGATAACTGGTGCCTCCTCAAACATTGATTAGATAGAAACAGCCCACACTGTTGCTATTCTGGGAGTGCATTTCATTAGATGGCTAATTAAAGTTCTGCTCTGTTTCCACAGACATGTGTTTTGCATGATAAAAGCAGGCAATGAAAAAGTTTAAACGGGTTTAATTGCAGAGATCTGAGATGTTGTGAGTTTAAATTGTGTTCCCAAAATTGAAAAATGTTATATTTTGTGTACTTATATGTAAAGATTTATATGCAAACACATATATACGGTGTGCAGTACCTGGAGTCTGTAATATTCCAACGCTTTATTAAATTATAACGGAATTATAATGTTTTCAATTATATTATATAATATCTGTGAATTATTCATTATATTTGTCACTAAAGCTTTGGGGTGAAAGTGGTCCAAATGTCATTTATCAGGACACAACGTTTTGCACACTGAGCATATTTTATTCCATGTGTGTATTAAAATTATTTCTGTGTTTTCTATGCAGCTCATCTCTTACCAGTTACATGCCCAATAACCTTTTTCCCCTTTTGGTTTTGGTTTGTCACAATATATTTTCTGTGTGTACCTGTTTATACACCAGTGCAGTGAGCTCATCTCCGTGAGCCAACAGAGCTAACAGGAATATCTGCACAAGCAGGGATTCCAGGAACTGGAGCTCGGATTGCTGTAAAGGGTACAGTTGTTTTAGATTATCATGCACTAAATGCCAGCATGCTTAGTTACTGAAGGAGAGGTAGGTTGTGCTTGCATTTGTATTTTTTCTATGTGCTGATTTCAAAAACAAGAAGCACGTTTGAAATGTATGTCCAGGATTTCTTTATCAAATTTACAGATATTTTTATTTTTAAGATGAAAGATTATACATTATTTGCAAATGGATTAATTTTCTTTTACTGTGGAAGGCATCATATTCTTTCCAGTTTTTTTCTTAAATCAGGCTATGTCTCTGTAATATAGCTAGGGTAGGTAATGTCTGCTGAGACCCCAACTGAGCAAGCAAGCAATGAAGACCTTAACCTCCAGGTTCTCAATAAATCAAAAACAGAAAACAGTAGGAATAAGAAACAAACTGGCTGGATGATCACAAGTCTCCCTCTTGATTACTGTTTCAGGACTCTGTTGCTCATTCTTCTTCAGTCATCATATCTTTGGTGATCTTGTACTTTTATTTCAAAATGTATAAATGTATAAATAAAAGGACAAAGCTTGACTGATATTTGATTATACGGTGTGCGCCCCCACAAAGTTGTTTAAATTTGCTGTAATGGGTTTTTATTCCAACACCACAACAGCACTTCTTTGCTCTATCAATAAAAGCAAATCCTCTCTTCTTCCCTATCTCGCTGCTACAAAAAGAGAAACAAAATAATAACTCTACAGGAGAATTTCAATGTCTCCTGTTGCATTACCAAATAATGAAAAATAGAGAAAACAGAATGGTTTTCTAATTGTGGAGAGCACAAGAAAAAAATGTAAAAGAAATGAAGATGTAAAAGAAATTAAGATTACAAAATTAACTCATGGGTAGGTTCTGCTTTAGCAAGAGGCCTAAATGTAAGTTATTCAAAACAGTATGTATGAACACTTCTTTCCAATAGAAGCTACAATGCCAAATTGTGCTTAGTTAGAACAAATCACAAAAATTAAAATTGATCAAAGTACTGTTTTTTTTTTCCCTCCAAGAGTTAGTAAATTATCTTGGTGTTTTCCAATTCCATGGGTATATAGTGTACATCAAATCACTTTCATGGGTAAGTTGCTTTTTCACTGCTTACAGCTTGTGTGTAAGTAAAATTGCACCCTAACTGTTTTGCAAAAACATTTTTTCTTTCCTTTTAATATATTCTCCCAGTCTCCCATTGATCACATGGCCACAATTAAAAACACTGTTCATTTTTGTACTCGCCACTGTTGGGTGGCATGATGGTGTAGTGGTTAGGGCCTTGCAGAGCTGGGGCCCTGACTTCAATTCCCGACCTACAGTAACTAGTGCTAGCAGCAAGTTTGTGTGTTCACCCCGTGTTTCTGTGGGTTACCTCTTGGTCCTCTGGTTTTGTCCCACA